AAAACATGTTCCTTAAAGTCCATTCTGCTACACTCTTAGAAAAGACCTGGTATTTGTAACTAACTTATTATCGTTGGGGTAAAACTGTTGCAGAAAATAAAATTTTTTGTTTTTTGTAATCAGTACCTTTATATGTGTAACTGCTTGCATCATTACCTGAAAAGATTTAGTTTTGTTGTTGAGTATTATTTACTGCAAAAAGGCGATTAAGTTATTTTAACTGAAACTTTGTGTTGGCTAGAAGTATTGACAACATTATCTCAAAAAAATCATTTCGGCCGTAAAATGTTTTTGTTGGACCAAATATTTAAGTAACATTCTCAACTGACTGAAATTAGTCCGTGGAACTAACGGTTCGGTTGTATAAACTATGCGTCACTTTTCACACAGCTAAGACACCAGCGGTGTGAAACAAAGTGTCAGTTGGGGATGTTGTAGGTTAATGCAACTGCAAACTTTGTGCATTTCGCGCGCGATTTGTCCAGCCCGGCGCGTGCTTTACTTTTAACCTGTAAACAAACGGTGTTGCACGGCGTCCAGACTTCGGTGGTGTTTGTTCTTTTGTATTTGTGTATTAGCTCGTGTGTAGTGTATATTTTAGGTAAGAAACTAGTTTACTACAATTAGTCATTTGCCCCTGTAAATTCAGTGGCGACATACTTTTTAACTATTCATATATATAAGAATATATTCTTATGTGTTGGTTACTTATAGATACCTCGAACAAATAATATGGATGAGCGGACTGAAGTAGCAGATTTATTAGGAACATGGGGTTTACCTGAATTGGTTCCAGTTTTTAAAGGTTAGGTAATATTATTGCACTCCTTTAATTACACTATTGTAGTTTTAGGGTCTGAAAAAAAATCCAAAAATGTGAAAATGCCATTCCGACTGAAAATGGCCTCCTGAATCCAATGGTGCCCACCAAAAGTCTCCATCACGTCGGAATTTCGAGAATTTTTTTGTTTTGTTTTGTTACAGCTGAAGTCGCATTTTTGGTATAGGGCCTATACTATAGGCACTCACACTCAAAATTTATCGAATGCTTACCCCTGTTATCATGCAAGTATGTTACGTTGTACCTAAGAATCATTATTAAGTTGTTAAACAAAGGCTTGCACTTCACGTAAACATCACGGTTTACTGAAGAAGTATAGTCAAATTTCATCTTAATGTACCTATCTGTGTATATTTACCAAAGAATCGTTTTTGTTTTATTGTTAAAATATTTATAAATGTTTTCTTAGAGTAATTATTAATTTTTGTTATAATGTTTAAACCAAAATTTGGTGTTTTCAGTTATATTGTTATTTTTTAATTTATAATAAATATTTATAAAACGAACGGGCATGAATTTCCTTTCTCTATTTTTTATAATATTTACACAAAAAGTGTTATATTTACTAAGCAGGTATGTACTGTGGAATAATACCAATTTGTTGTTGCTACTAATGCAAGCATTTAATATTAAATATAACTTAGTTACAGTACAAAACAAATTTATATTATATCAACTATTAAATTCTTTAAATGTACCTAAATATCAATTATTTGTATGAAAAAAAAACTAATTTCGATGCACTTAAACTTGTTGGTTGGAGCTACCAATATTGGCTGTTTCGACAACAAACTGTAAAAACAAATTTGTATTAGTTCCCACAACATATTTTTTTGTTGTGCCTATTTTCACTAATAAAATTGGTTCTGGAAACTAAATTTTCATTGCAAATACCAGGTCTTTTCTAAGAGTGTATCAAGGTATATTCCCAAATATTTAATTGAAAGCTGATTATTAAAAGAAGGTTGTAAAGTAAAATACATGCTTTGGGGTTTCTCTTCATTTAAAAGCAAACCATTATCAGCAAACCAAAGTTTGGCATCACTTGCTGCAGTCAAGGACTCCTCTCCAAGACAAGCTTCATCCTTGCTTTTACATAAAATTGTTGTATCGTCCGCATACATAAAAACGGAAGCATTGTTTACAACAAAGTCATTCATAAAAATTATAAATAGCAAAGGCCCAAGAACAGATCCCTGCGGGACTCCAAATTTTATTTGAACAAAGTCGGATTTTATTTTGTCAATTTCTACACATTGATATCTATCGGAAAGGTATGACTTAACTAGTTCAAGGGTCACGCCTCTTACATTATAATGATTAAGCTTGTCCAGAAGAAGATCTCTTGACACAACGTCAAACGCCTTAGACAAATCAAAGAATATTCCCTTAGCAATGCATCCCTCATCCATGGATTTCACAATATTCCATACTAAGAAGTTAATTAGTGACATTGTAAAGAGACCATCTTTATATGCAAATTGAAAAGTATTTAAAAAATGTCTTTCATTAAAGTATTTTTGAAGACTGCCCTTAATTAAGATTTCTAAAACTTTACCCAGAATAGGTGTAATGGATATTGGTCGAAAATTGTTTGGGTCTTTTAAGCTACCCTTTTTGTGTACAGGGACAATTTTGCAAAATTTAAGAACATTTGGAAATATACCATGAACAAAACACTCATTCGATTGTGTAAACCATGAAATATTGTTTGACATCTTACCTAAAAAACCAACGACAAGTATTTGAATGGAAAGATATACAAACCAAAAAAGAATTAATAAACATGGGAGTACCACAAGGATCTACCTTAGGACCAATTTTGTTTATCCTATACACAAACGATCTGACAGCAGATGTTAATACTTCAAAATCATGAATTTATGCTGATGATACCACTTTTATAAATACAAAAAGGCCAAACAAAAGTCCAAGGAAGCAATAAACAATGTACAAGATTGGTTTGAGACAAACGGATTAAAACTAATTAAAGAAAAAACTTGTATTTTCACTAAAAGATCTACACTACCTGAAAATATTCTTTTGCTAGGGTTTTATATGGATAGTACAATGACATGAATTTAACATATATATCACCTTTTAAAGAAACTAACATCGGCCATTTATTTAATTAGAAGAATAAGTTTTGTCGTGAACAAAAATGCCGCGAATTTTTAAATTTCTAATGTATGTATTGTTACCTCATTTAAATACCTATTTAACGAGTGTGCGAGGTGCGAAGTATCCCAAAAAAATTTGCCATCACTGGTTTTTAAACTGAAATCAGGGGATACATTGAAGTGGGTTAAAGTTATGAAATACATCAGCAAGTGTTTAAGTTGTAGTATTACTGTACCAAATTTCTTTATAATTTGATTATTTCAGAATGGTGTGTTATTTAATTATGTGTATGTTATTTTTGTGTTCATTTATAAATGTAAATTTCTATTAATTTTTTTGTTTAGGAAATTGATTAATAAAGCAACATTTCTTATCAAAATTCTTTTCATTTAAGTTCCCAATTTCCAACAAATACTTTTGTTACTGGGTCTAGAAAAAGGTTTGTAAAAATAAGGTCATTTTTAAATATCATTGAATTATTGACAGGATTTTTTTATTAAAGCTACAAAATGTTTGTAATAATTAGAAAGTACTTATTCATTTGGTAAACAGATTACAGTTGGTTAATATTTGGTTAAAACTAACAAATATTTGTTTACTGTGCTTGATTTGTATTTCTAATCTTTATAAAAGTGTTACAACAATTATTGTAATTCTTGAGAGAGTTGCTATTATCCAAATGAGTTCCTTGCAGGTTTTCATTTTGGAAATGGTTTTGAAACATATTAGGAATCTTTGATATTATAATAAAAGCATGGGTGTCATCTAGAAGTGGAATAGTGAAAACTGTATTAGAAAAACTGTTTGATTAATATACTTTTTCCTTGTCAAATCTATCAAGTGTGTAAAATAAATATTGGGCGAATAAAAATACAGGAGACGCAATTTTTATCTTGACATTGATTGATTTTTTACATTAAAAGTAAAAATAAAAAAGAATCTCTTCTAAAAAATGTTGATGATATAAATTAATTTTTTGATAATAAACAAAATATTAGTGTTAAAATCAGTCAAAAGAACATTCAATTTCATTAGTTTTAGAGTACCGCTTTCATGCAATAAATATAAGTTTGCTTCTATAAAACTGAAGATTAAATCTTAAAACTTAGATACCAACAAGACAAACAGCAAAAATTTAATTAAAAAGGGTAGGGGGCCGCCGTGACGTAATTATAACTAACTTTTAATTTTTCAACAACTAGGTTTTACGATAAAAATGCAAGCTTATAAAGTTTGTAATTTTTAACAACTTGATAAGACAACAGACATGTTCCGGATAAAAACGGATTTCGCACACATTTCAAAAACGCCATAAAATAATGAAAACGTAGCGTGTTCTTTTGTTTTTTACCGCACAAACATCAATTTCACGTTATCTATAAATTCTTCCAAGTTTCTTGTACTAATAATTTTTCAATTTCTGCAGCTAATACCTTGCGCTTATCATCCAGTTAATAAAGTGTATTAACCTTTAATGTCGGGATCGATATTTTAATTATAATCATACACAGCAGAACCTGTATTTACAGAGATTAATAGGGACCCCATAAACAATTCGTATGAAATTACTAAATTATTAAATTATGGCGTCTCTTAATAAGTTTGATGCCAAAAGTTTAATTTATCACGACACACGATCCCATTATGCCAGGCTTTGATAAACAGAAATTGATTATTCGAGATTTCAAATATGCTACCACCATAACAAGTGGCCAAATCAACGGGCCTTTGTTATTAATACTCCAAACTGCGAAGCTTTTTTATTGTATTGTTTGTGCTTACCTACTTTTGGTTTGGTTGTTAATGATTCTGTCGAATGGGGAATCAGTCTTATTAAAAAATACAACCAGTCACTGACCAATATGTATTATCATCCTCTTAAATGATAATAAGTTATTTGGTGACACTCTGTATTTAATTATTAAAATCTGTTTCTTAAATATATCAATTTTCTTATGAGGCCATAAATTTCATGAATAATACTTTGTTTTTCTTTAGAATGTTCCTTAAGATTTATTATTTAGTCGTAGGAAGGATACAAAAGAACAAAGTAAATAATTTGCATACAAAAATTTATTTCATTTATGAAATTAATTAATTTTATCTTAACCTTTTTCATTACAAAAATTTATATTAAAGCTCATCTTTTTGTTCTTGTTTCAAATTTTCCAAATTAAGTTTGTTCCAAAAATTAATGTGCGAAATAGTCTTTTGGGTGTTGACAGATATTTCACTAGGACTGGTTATGTTCAAGAACGCTAGTTCATTGTGTTTCGTGGGTTTCCAGGTCACATTTTCCACTTTGGGAGTTCTAAAATATTTAATTGTAAAAAAATACATATAGATTAAGTGAATTGTTACCCCGTTCCTGCAAAAGAAACCAAAATATCCAAAAGAGTTTCTTTGATTTGTTTGTCAGATTCAGATAGTTGCCTATTTGGAAAAATTTCTCCATACAAATGTAAAATATCATCCCCATGACTGATCCCTAAAATAAAGTTAATAACATATGCAGTGTATACTTTGTCCATTAATAATAATAGTTATCTATGGTACTAGTGTGTTATGTTGAAAATCAAAGTCACGCGAGAAAGATTTATACGACGAGGCCGTCAGGCCTTCTCAAGTGACAAGTGGACGAAATCGTTTTTTATGAGATAATAATTAATAAGCTTTGTGATCAAATCAGAGCTACTTGCGTCTCAGTATCCTATAAATGTCAGAATCACTTGACAGTGACTTTTACATTTTGGTCAAAGAAGGTTGTTTGTTTGGTTGCCACGGGCATGATACATTGTTAATTAGAGTCTTGGATGAATTCACGAAAGATAAAAGGTATCGATGAAAATGTTCTATTGGCTTATTTTTTACATTTGCAAAAAAAATTAGCCCCATCGTCGCTATGGACCAAATACTCGATGCTTCGCTCAACTATTCACCTTTATAAAAAAATCGACATTTCAAAATATGGCAAACTAAGGAGCTTTTTGAAAAACAAATCACAGGGATACAAACCAAGGAAGTCCAAGACATTAGAACGACCTGAAATAGAGAAGTTTTTGAACGAAGCTCCCGACGACGAGTACCTGTTGATGAAAGTGGCTTTGATAATGGGGATTAGCGGTGCTTGTAGATGCGATGAATTGGTCAATTTGAAAATAAGACAAAGGGAAATATTTTCACGTAGTTTTGCCAGACACTAAAACCAAGAAATTGAGAAGTTTCACCATACTTGAAGAAGAATTTTCAGGCAACCCGATCAATTTGTGTAAAAAATACATGTCTTTGAGACCAAAGAACTAGTACTAGCCGCTTTTTTTGTTTTTTACAAAAATGGGAGGTGTACCAGCCAGTGTGTGGGAATAAATACGTTGTCCAAGAATCCTTCAAGAATTGCAATGTTTTTAAAATTGAAGGAACCAGCGCTCTACACCGGTCACTGCCTGAGAAGGTTTTCGGCGACTCTTTTGGCCTATGCAGGGGCTAATATGACTACTTTGAAGCGTCACGGAGGATGAAAGTCCTCGACGGTAGCAGAAGGATACCTAGAAGAATCGGTGCATTACAAAATACAAATTGCGTCGGCGTCTTCCAGCACTATCAGCAACTGTTCCGATATGGGAGCGTCTGGTTTCAATGAACTAACGAATTTTACAATGACTTCAAATTCAAATAAACCGTTTTCCTTTAGTTCTGCTTGTAATAGTAATAATTAAGAGAATACCACATTAAATATGAACGTGAGTTATAATCCATAACTCACTAGTGAGTTATGGATTATAACACACTAGTGTGTTATTTGATAGTTTACTTGTCTAAAATGACATTAATAATGACAGTCATAACTATCATGTGTTGGATAAATACCTTTAAATTCTGGTTTCAAGTTAGGAAAATCCAAATCACTAAAAGTTGCAGTTGTTCGGTAATTATAGAAGTAATAGTATACAGAACTTTTTACAGCTTTTGATTGCAACTTGGCAGCTCTCTCAGCTTCTGTTATGAAGTATCGATCTGTAAAAAGCTGGATATTTTGTTAGTGATAAAGCTTAAAAAATTAAAGATTTTATTACCTTAACCAGCTGCCTGTAGGTTGAAGCGCTGATTTTTTCGTCTGTACCGATATAATAATTTTTAATAGTTTGAGAAATTTGCTCCCAATCAGATTGAGGCTGAGTTTGTGAAAATAAAAGTATATGTGGCGCCATTTTGGTCCATCCTTCGTTAACTTCATCGAATTTCTCTGCAAATACTACACTTTTCTATTAAAAACTTATACATTGTATGTAATGAATACTTACACCCGCTTGGCATTATTCCATCCTCGGCGGTATTAGAAAATATCCAGGGTATATCAGGTAAATTTTTGTCCATTAAAATATCAAGTGGAGCTTTAGGTAAAAAGTCCCCATCAACAACAGGTACAAAGTCCATCGCCAACAAATCGTCCTCCGATTCAATCGACTTCTTAAGCAAATCCAACGCAGGTCTTTGCTTTAGACAATCCACCATCTCTCTGGATGATTCCACGGGACACCCAAGTGCCCTTGAAATACCTTTGGCCTTTGTAACAACACTATCCACAGGCTTGGTGCTCCACAAATTTAACGCGGTACCACTGTGCGAAACTCCACGATTGAAAAGGCCGCGCGATTTTGGCGACAGGTAATGCAAGTGAGAGCTGGCACCACCGGCCGAAAATCCTGTTAAAGTTATCGAGTTCGGGTTCCCACCGAAGTATTTGATGTTGTCTTTGACCCACTTCAAAGCCAAAAGTTGGTCCTTCAAGCCCAGATTGCCTGGCACTACTTCATCGCCGGTACTAAGAAAACCTAAATAATGATGTTAGTATTTCAATTGTTGGAATAAAAGGTGTCCCAACAAGTTTTGTTGGGACACCATTCGTATTTATACCAAAGACTCCTAGGCGATAGTTGAAGGTAACGAAAATAACATTTTTATCCATCAAATAATCAGCGGCTGTGTAACTATGTGGGCTTCCCACTTTAAACCCCCCACCGTGTATGTGGACAATAACGCTTAATTCTTCCAGACTTAAAGGCTGCTCTCTGGGCACATACACGTTCAAATACAGACAGTCCTCCAAACCAATAATTTTTTTGCTTATGTCCGTTTGTATGCACTCGTGAGACGTGGTGGCATTCCACTTTCCTATCCATGGGTCTGCTGGCTGAGCTTCCTAAAAAATTTGATTGTATATATATATCTATAGTACACTTGAAAGTTAAATGTACCTCAAATCTTAGATTGCCCACAGGTGGTTTGGCATAAGGGATACCTTCGAATGCTGAATATGGTTTTCCTCCATATGATGTTTTGAGGTAACCAGAAACCAAACCCACTGAGGTTATAACATCTGAACCTTGACCATGATCTACAAGAAAAAGTATCACAGTGGGATTTGGAATATCATCTTAAAGTATGCAAATTATTTGGCTGTAACTTTAAAATTTCCAAAGGAACACCCTATTTTTATTGCAGATTCGGATCATTCGACTAAAATAGGTAGATTTTGTCTAAAACATTTTTACTACTGATTAATTTCCCCCCTTGAATCATTTAATTTTTATTTTAAACATTTTTTCGTAAAATGCATACTAGTTGAGATATTTCAAAGTTTCAAGTTGTATATTTAAATGGTACATTGGTAGGTATAATAGGCGTGTCAAGTTTTACGAATACAGTATATGCATTGCAAGGTACACGTAAAAAATAAATATTAAACTCACAAATAACCGATACGAATAAAAATAATATAAATGTTCCCGACATGTTTATTGACCACATCGTACACTCAACAGTTATAAAAACATACTAAAACAAATATGTTTGATTTAGCTTATCTTATCCTACTATTATATATAATAAGTTTATTGTGTGATTCATTATATTTAATAAGTGGTTTAGTCGTATATCTATGAGGCGCCGTTTGTGCCATAATTATGTTGCTAATATATATTTATTTTTGTTTGAATACCTATATATATTTTTTTAATATATTTTTAAATTTACTTAATATATTTATTTTTTTACTTAAAATATATTTATTTTTTAAGAACAATATATTTATTTTTTTGTGTTAATATTAATAATATTATAATATTATTATGTTTTTTTGACATCTGCTAATATATATTTGTTTTTTTGACAGACAATTCAATGTGGCAACGTTGCATTGTCATTTAACCCGTTGTTCATAGATGTCGTTGTTGTTTTAAGTTAACACATACTTCCATGGAAGTATGTGTAAGTTAACTGATACTTTACCGGTAATATTTTTTGAATGTTTGAGGTTAGATTCTATCAGCGATTGTTTTTATTTAAAAACGAAAGAAAAATTCGGTGAATTTTCGGTGGCTACTCAAAACAAGTGTGCTACGCAACTCTGGACTACTTCTTTCCATTATTACTAAAATTTCGCTTTTACAAAAAATATTCCAGAAAATTAATAAAGAAAAATTTATTTTGTATTTACCTGTTTTAAATAACCGCAAAAAATTTACCGTCTTCACTATTTCTTTCGTTTATAAATAAAAACAAAGTCGTTAATGGAATCTAACCTCAAAAATGCCGGTAAAGTATCAATAAACTTACATATACGTAAGTATATATACATATATGTAAACTTAATACAACAACGACATCTATGAACAACGGGTTAAATGACAATGCAACGTTGCCACATTGAATTGTCTGTCAAAAAAACAAATATATATTAGCAGATGTCAAAAAAACATAATATTATTAATTATATTATTATAATATTATTAATATTAACACACAAAAATAAATATATTGTTCTTAAAATATGAATATATTTTAAGTAAAATAATAAATATATTAAGTAAATTTAAAAATAAATTTAAAAAATATATATAATCAAACAAAAATAAATATATATTAGCAACATAATTATGGCACAAACGGCGCCTCATATATATCTTCATCTTATCAAAAATAAATATACAAAATAACATTTATATTTCAATTCAATTCAGTTTTATTAACATTTTAAAAATACAAAATATATCATAAAAATTAAATTTTTAAGTTATTTTAATAAAACTAAAGTTTTATAAATTTTATTTATAAATAGAATATAAATTAATAGTAAATTATTATACGAGAGATAATGCGCATAATCTCGAGTGTAATACTATACCCTATGTACCAATAAGTAGATAATTAATGATTTTCTAAAATAATTAAATAAAATCTAATATCTTTTTAATGGTTAACCTGACTTTTTACTCATTTTAAATGTTACTATAGTCGCCTTCTCCCAATTTAAAACCAGAGTGGTTCTGATCCCTAACAACAGGAATAATAAGTTTTATTATTATTGTTTTGTATTTAAAAACATTTAACTAATTACTGTTTATCATTCCTACACGGAGAGAAATGTATAGTAAATTTTAGATAGTAAAAAAATATAGTAAAATTTTTAGGGTAACAATATTATATATTCGTCAATACAATATTAAGATTGTAATACAAAATACTATTTTTTATTATGCAATTTTAGTAAAGATTACATTACCAATATTACTAAATCATAAATGCATAATATATATTTTAATTTTTAATTTGTTCGTTTAGTAAATTGATTTTACTATCTACAAATAGTAATATTTACTATATGATTTAATCAAATGTAGGGTGTACATCTAATATTATAATATATTAAACATTAATAAAAAATATAGTAAAAATAAAGATACTTTTATGTTTAAGGTAAATAAACAATATATTTAAATATAATATACAATATAGTAACTCATGACATTTTAACTATGATTTCGCGAAAGAATCGAACGATTTTGGGGTATTTTTTTATAACACATCTCAGATTTTTGTTATATTTTAATATTGCGTTTATACATCTAATTCCACCCTAAATCTAAAATTTTTCTTTTATCTGACCTAAACTTTGGCTCCCAGAGACCATTTAATTTTACCTTTCGCAAAAAGCCATAATTTCATTATATTAGCATAATTTTTTTATTAAAATACTGAATGTTTTGAGATGTGGTCCATAAATAACCCTTATTAGTACCTACAATTCTACCAAAAAAAAAATTAAATTTTTTACATATAGGTGGCGCTGCAATTTTTTCTTCTTCAAAAATAGACGGTTTTTGAAAACCAAAAACTCTCTTAAGCAACAATGCTCAAAAAAACTAAATAGTATACCAGATAATATACATATTCCTTTATAATTTGATGTATAAAAATTTACTTGCAAATGATGTTGCCGCCCGTAAAGCCAACTTAAAGTTTTGTTTACCGCATTAAAAAAATTGAATTACACTTACAACTTTATTCTTATTTATTAACTAAGGAATTCCAGGAGATTACTTTTATTGGTAACAATAACACAGCAAAAAAAAAGTTTTATTTTTTAACACCCAGGGGGTGCTGCAGCCTTTTTTCTTTAAAAACTAAATAGCATTTCAGATAATATAGTTATGTATTCCTTTATTATAAAGAGTTATTTATTCCCTTATTTATTTAATAGGTTTGTTCTTTATTTTATTTATTATGTTTTTCTTTATTATTATTATTGATATTCCTATTTCTTTATTATTTAACATATAACAGTTTATCTGCAAGATTTGCATATATTAAATAATAAAGATATATCCTAATAATTATTATAATAATAATAATTATTACCTTTACATTAAATTTTAAACTTGTTGGGCTCTAAGGGGTATATTCGCTAACTTTTTAGTTATAAATAACCCTGGTTTATATCATACCGGCTGGTTCAAATCTCTAGAGCGATTCTCAGAATCAGTCAAGAGATTTTAACCAGGGTTATTTATAACTTAAAAGTTACTTAGGCCGCAAAGGAACTACTTTAAAACTGATAAAACTTCAAAAAAACTTCATCCGCTTCTGGGCTAATTTCTTCAATTTCTTCCGGCAATTTTTATTAATTTTCTTTTTCTATTTTTGCTTAACCTTCTATCTGACGATAATCTTGATAATAAGCCGCGTATCTGATTAGGATGCATATACTCGTTTGAAGAAAAATAAAATTTGCCATTTACTTCATAATTTTGTAAAGCTGTTGCTATATATTCAGGGGTATATTTAATTTTGGTTTTTTCACCTTGTTCAAAAAGGTTGCCAACAAAATCTTTTTGTTTTTCATTAAAACGTGATTTTTTAAATTTGCGCCTTCCGAACCCTTTTGCATAAACTCGAAAAAACGTATTTTTAAAATAATAATTATCTTCTTCATTTGGGCATATATATATATATATATATACCGTTAAGGTAGATATTGTTGAACTAGTTGCAGTTAAAACATCTTTTTGTTTTAAAAATTCTATTCTAGCAACAACACCTATAGTTTGTCTAATTTCAGGAAATTTATGTTTTTGAAATTTAAGGTGGTTTAGAAGATCATCTTCATTTTCAAAAACCCTACTGCAAAGTAATTCGTCGCACCTATATTTAATTGCTTTTAAATTATTTAGATTTTCCTTTTGTCGACTCGATGATGTCCAAGGAACTTTCATGTTAACTCCAGAAGAAAATTCAATTCCTAGAATTTTGATTTACTTAAAGCAAATTTATTAACTTTGCGTACCTTTAAAAGCATGATATTTTCCCTCTCCAATTTCAACTTTTGTAATAACGGCAAAATTTTAAATGTTATTATGGTTACCGTTTGACAGTAACTGTCAACTGTTGGGGTAACTTGATTCCCAGCCTATAGGCTTGACTTTAGTTTAATTTTAAAGTACGATAATAAAGAATGCTTTGCCTCTCGAAGTATACTAAAATATATTTAAACAAACGGTCATATTACTATTACTATTACTATAGAGTCACTGAAATACTTGTTACCATTTGTAATTAAAATTTCTTTGGTTTTGTTACCTTTTGTCCGCATACAACAATAAAAGGCGTTTATTTAACAATATGCGGGTACTAGTTATAATTTTAATCGTCCCTACAATAGGCATTAATTATTGCAAATAAATTTTGTCAAACAATAAAAGAATATCTATATTATCTGATACATTATAAATAATGTCATTAGTTTTTTAAGCAATGTTGCTTAAGTAACTTTATGGTCTTTATAAACGTCTATTTTTGAAAAAAAGGCTGCAGCGCCCCCTGTATATAAAAAAATAAAACTTTTTTTTGTTGCGTTTTAGTTACCAATAAAAGCCATCACCTGGAGTTCCTTAGTTTATAAATAAGGATAGAGTTGAAAGTGTAATTCAATTTTTTTTAATGCGGTAGACCAAACTTTAAGTTGGCTTTACGGGCGGCAACATCATTTGCAAGTAAATTTTTATATGTCAAATTATAAAGGAATGTCTATATTATCTGGTACGCTATTTAGTTTTTTTGAGCATTGTTGCTTAAGAGAATTTTTTGTATTCAAAAAACGTCTACTTTCGAAGAAAAAAAAATTGCAGCGCCACCTGTATGTAAAAAATTAAAACTTTTTTTTTACAGAATTGTAGGTACTAATAGGGGTCATACATGGGCCAAATTTCAAATCATTCAGTATTTTAATAAAAAATGTATGCCAAAATAATGGAATTTGGCCTTTTTGTGAAAGGCAAAATTAAATGGTTTCTAGGAGCTAAAGTTTAAGTCAGATAAAAGAAAAATTTTAGATTTAGTGTTAAATTGGATGTATAAACAAAATATTAAAATTAAAAAAAAATCTGAGATGTGTTGTAAATCGATCGTTCGATTCTTTCGCGAAATCATAGTTAAACATTCAATTTTCTTAGTTTCTTCAATAAACTTTCTTGACCCATTACTGGTAATACTACGTTAGACGGTGTGGATCACGTGATGTTCTTACATCTCGCCTCTGTTGGCTTTCCAAACTATGTTATATAAGCTCAGGTATTTCTTTGTTTTGGGTGTGTTCCACTACTACAAGTTGCTTGACAGTGTCGTATCGACACTGATGATACCCAATATAGGTCAAAACACCTGTTTGTCGGTATTTAAAGTTGATGGAACGCACTCAAAACAAAAAACTTTGTCGAGGTGTAGGTTCAATTCTTTCTCATAACATTTTTGTATATTAAAAAGTACAATAAATATGTTACAATTTTTAATTGTTAAGATATAAAAATATTCGATTTTAAAATATTTTATATTTAAAATGGCAACATAGTATTTTAAAATTTACTATACTTATTAGTAATGGAAAAATCTAATTATAATAAGAATTAAAAACAAAATTGGTTGAGAATAATAATAATTTACCTTAAGGTTTAACATACATGGATATTTAAAAATTACTAAATATGCATAGTATCTGGCAATATACAATATAGTTGTCCCAAATAGTAATATAAATTATAGTAAAGGGTATTATAATTATGGTAATTAGCATTATACTTTTCTCTCCGTGTAGTGAGTTTCAAGATCATGCCTTAAACTTTGCGGTTATATAAATAAATAAATCTCAGTATTTAAGAATATCCACTCTAAAGAACATCAAGCAGGCTTTTTGTGTGGAATATCGCCATTCAATTTCTGAAAAGTGCAATTCTTTAAATTTGCCCTCTTACTTGCTACCTTTAAAAGTGGGTACATTTAGCATTGGTCTTTCATTCAAACATCATTTCAATTCGACTCGCAAGGCGACCAAGCGATAATGAGGAAACTTTTAAGGGCCATCAGAAACAGGCCATGAGTTAAAGCGACACTTTTTAGGAAAGTAATGTAGCAGTTAGACTGGGCCAAAAAAATCGACTATTTTTTTTGTATATAGTATATATTGGGGTGACCCAAAAAGTTCGAGTCCATAATAATAATATTAAGAGGTCTATGCTCTACAAAAAAAATCTCTTAACATTTTTGGCTAAATTCACTAAATCAAAAGTTATTCAGGACTAAAGTTAAAGTCAAAACGAAATTCTTATTTTTTAGTAAAAGTTTTTACGCTGTAGACTTATTTTTCTATGGATGATTATTTGATTTTTTTCTTTATAAATGTGTATTATATAACTAATGAACAATTTACAATAAAAAAACATGATTCTTATTATTTAAATGATTAAATAACAGTGAAAATGATATTTTTTAAGGAAAAAAGCTTCTTAAAGTGTTATATATATTTTTAATTTTTAGTAATTTTAACTGAAATTGAAAAAATCTACAAAGGTAAAAACACGAATTTTGTTTTGACTTGAACTTTAACCTTGAATAACTTTTGAAGGAGTGAATTTAGCCAAAAATGATAAAAGACTTTTTTTGTAGAGCATTTTCCATAAGAATATCTTTCGGTTTTTTCTCCGAATTACAAAATTCGAAAGTTAAAAGATCAAATTGTAAAACTACCCCAATTTTTAAGGCATGATTGTAAGGAAACGGTTCATCTAAAAGGAAATTTAAATCAAACCTTTTTGTAGAGCAATCAATTTTCTCCAAAAAATATATTTAAGTCAATTTTGTTAAACTCAATGGTTTGGGAGTTCTGAGACAAAATCTCGCTTAGAAAAAAAAAATCTAAAACTGCGATGATAATATTAATATTATGGACTCAAACTTTCACAATATTTTTTTTTGTCACCACAAACAATATTTTCGATATACTTATAAATAAATATAATAATAATATAATAAATTTTTTTGGTGGGTCTTGGGTCGAAAATAGTACATTATCTTATGCAATTTCAATGTATTTTTATTATTGGCATAATAAAGTAACAATTATGGTTATTTAAAAGTTGATGTCGAGAATGTGCCGGTAATAGGAGCATGTAATCTTTTATTAATATGTTTTTATACCAAGATTTCTTAAAAACCAAACTATTCCATATTTTGTTTGGCAAGAAATCCTAAACAAATATTTGTTTTTGTAAAGCTACCTTTTATCTGCTCCCTTGTTTGTTTTCAATAAATATAAAAGAATTCACTTTACTCCGGTAAAATATACAAAAATATTGACTTTTGTATTATGCATATTAGAACTATTTATAAATAGTTAATTAAGGACACCCTGTATTTATAATTATCAAAATTAATTAGTTTCCATATACGTTTATAACAAAGGACAAAGGACAAATGTAGCTTCTGGAATGCACTATTGTTTAATCCTATAATTACCTAATTAAATGTAATTATATTATACAAGGTTTGTTCAGAACTTTTTTTTTTAATAATAATAATAATTTCTTTAGTTTTTCAGACAAAAAAGTCAAACGGGGTCGTGTCTGGCAAATAGGCGGACTTGGGCATCATTATGATAATGTTTAAAATTCAGAAACAAGCAATTCAGTTATTAATAATTTTTCCACGCTTTTAATAATGCTAAATGATGTTTAAATTTAGATGACTTATTTTTTTATGATTCTTACTGAATTGAAATGTTTACAATTTCACGTAAATCATTACTAAAATTTTATTTATATTTACAGGGACTGTATGCAATTTATTTCTTCATTCGGATTTGCACTGTTTATTGGGAAACCGGTAAAAACTCAACCCAGAGGAGTCTCGAAAAACACCTAAGAACACAAAAAATTGTACTACGGTTTTTTTCTCGATATTTTTTACATTTTCGATACTTTTTTAGCATTATTATTATTATATTTATTTATAAAATAAATCAATGACTAGATAATATCGTGCCGTAATTTAATTAATTTAATTTAATAACTCTAAAGGTTGCAAGCACTTAATATTGACCTTGGACACATTAAATGCAAATTTTCTGTATTATTCGTACAGGCAAGAAATAATAATCAATATGAAATACAGTGTTTCATAAATATATTTTACAAAATGTTCAAACCTGTGTCCAATATAGACAAAACAAAAAGTTATTGTTTAATCCTATAATTACCTAATTAAATTTAATTATATTATACAAGGTTTGTTCAGAACTTTTTTTTTAATAATAATAATAATTTCTTTAGTTTTTCAGACAAAAAAGTCAAACGGGGTCGTGTCTGGCAAATAGGCGGACTTGGGCATCATTATGATAATGTTTAAAATTCAGAAACAAGCAATTCAGTTATTAATAATTTTTCCACGCTTTTAATAATGCTAAATGATGTTTAAATTTAGATGACCTATTTTTTTATGATTCTTAGTGAATTGAAATGTTTACAATTTCACGTAAATCATTACTAAAATTTTATTTATATTTACAGGGACTGTATGCAATTTATTTCTTCATTCGGATTTGCACTGTTTATTGGGAAACCGGTAAAAACTCAACCCAGAGGAGTCTCGAAACCTAAGAACAAAAAAAAATGTACTACGGTTTTTTTCTCGATATTTTTTACATTTTCGATACTTTTTTAGCATTATTATTATTATATTTATTTATAAAATAAATCAATGACTAGATAATATCGTGCCGTAATTTAATTAATTTAATTTAATAACTCTAAAGGTTGCAAGCACTTAATATTGACCTTGGACACATTAAATGCAAATTTTCTGTATTATTCGTACAGGCAAGAAATAATAATCAATATGAAATACAGTGTTTCATAAATATATTTTACAAAATGTTCAAACCTGTGTCCAATATAAACAAAACAAAAAGTTATTTTGACTAAAATTTTATTTAAAAAAAGTATTGCTATTTATTATTAAAAAGGGAACAAATATTTATAAAGTTTAGAAGTATTATCTCATATATTTATTTATCACACTGATATGTGATAAATATTTGTTTAAATATTAAATTTAATTATAAATATTTTAAATATTAAATAGGAAATTAATTATTTTTATGATATTGGAAAAATTTTAATTATTTTTTTTTAATTTCAGTTTAACGGTATTTGGGCCTTGCCAGGATTTGTGTGCGATTTTTACATTGCAATGGACGTCACGTGTTCCACTTCGTCCATTTTTAATTTAGTTGCCATATCCATAGACCGGTAAGTGTTTTATTGATATAAAAAAATAATTAGTTTACTTATCTTGTTTACATTTAAAGTCGTTCATTAATTAATGAATATTTTTAATTTGCAATTATTTATTTTACATTATACAGTGAGCACCATGCAAATTTTCTTTAATTTATCCCAGTGGTGGCTCTAGTAAACCATTATTAATATAAAAAATTAACTAAAAAGACAAAACAAAGAAAATATCAAAGCAATCTCAACCCAAATTGCAAAACTCAAAAACAATACTTCGTTTTTTAAAACTTAAAAAAAGTTTATATATAAAACAAATAAAATATCGTAATCCCCACCCCCTAAACTCCAATTGTTTTTTCCGCATAGCCACTTTGGTTTTGTACTAAGATAATTGAGTTGAATTGAGTTCGAGAATATTGATTACCATGCCTCTATCGTTAAATATTGATGCAACTTTTGGCATTGGATAATGTCATAAACAAGATTCATTTAAAAAAAAACAGAAATATTTAACTAAAGAAAACCCAACCTTAATTAAACTCAATACGACTTGTTGCTTAAGAAAAACTGCTAATTCTACCTGTGTAGCGTGTATGTACCCCCTTGCTTCACAATAATAAAATAATAAATTTTACTTATCAAGACAAAAACATCCGCTCTACACACACTGCAACACAAACTGCCATCCACCACATCTTGAGTCATGTGATATAAAACCACCAATTAGAGCAAGCCCAAGCTCCAATCCCTCTCCTTAAGCTCTGACGAGCCGCCACTAATTTAACCGACTTTGATGAATACTTGGTGCCTTCTATACAACAATACACAGTAAAAAATTTTGCCCGTGTAAATTTTTTAGTGTAGGGGTAAAAATATTAGAGTTGATTTGTAAGTGTAAAAGTTACACTACAAAATACACTAGGTAGCATGTAGTGCTTATTAACTTTATTAAACACATTATTCATTGGTACAATCACACTAGTTATTATTAAAATAAATCAAAAGGGTAGAAAAACTTAATGCGAGTGTTTATTACCCTTTAATGTGTTAAATAGTGACAAAATGTACACTACAGTGCATGCCAATTTCTTTGTCTGTTTTGATGTTACTAAGAGCTCTTTTTTCTTTACACTACTAGTGCAAATTGTATCACAATTAAAGTTAAATTACACCAATACTGGCAAAATAGACTGATAAAACTGGTAATAACAGAAATGCGTTTTAAAATGTTTGGTTGGTACCTATCTACCTACGCAGTGCATATCCGGAGATACCGCGTTGTGGAAGTGTGGCATTTTTGTTCAGTTAGATTTTAATTACGGCGAATCCATAAGAGGACATTCTTATTTTTTGGTAAGTATTATATTTCCTTTTTATTTAAGCCTTAATACTCAATAAATACCAATATGTTAAAAGGATGTCCATACCCGACCCTTATTATATATCAATAATTTACGGCAGTAGGTCGGGTACTTGTAACATTAATAATATAAATACATACAAACTTGTTTTATTTTTTATTTTCAAGCGTAATGGTTATTATATTAACGTATACCTACATTTTTATTAATATTATGGAAAATTTGTACACGTGTGGTAAATCCCCGACATACAGCCGCCTGACGCCTCTCTACCAATGGGATCACCCATTTTTTTATAATGGATTAATGATGAATTCTCAAGATAATTAATTGCTTACAAGTTGACAGCCAGTAAAACATTGCATTGATCTAAAACTTTTACGTTTTAAGGAACCATTTTGCTTAAGCCAGCCATACGACTCAAATATAAAATTATATTTTAAAAGGCACCGATTTTGATAATTGTCAAAGATTTTTGTTCCAAATAAATGTTTCTCTTTATTTACCTCTTCGTTTTATTCACTACCACCGATTGGTTTTACTCATATAATGGTGTTAATTTACTCTAGAAGTTTGCACTAAAAGGGTAAAAGTACCTTTCTAAAATTAGAACTTTTCCAAAATAGTGTTAATTTATACTACAAATTAACTCTAATTGTAGTGTTAAAAAACAACACTATTTAGTGTGGACCTGTGTGAACTCTAATTAGTGTTGCTTAGAGTTGATTCTTTTTTACTGTGTAAAAAGGGAATTTGGGAAATGACCCTAATATCCAGGTGCCAATTATGAAATATATGCATATAGCAAACGAGAAATCTGGCATTTAAGAACAAAGGTGAATCGGATTTTGAAATAACCTCAGCATGTAAATGAGTTTAATTCCTTCCTCAAAAGTGATAAATTCAATTGACTTTTGGACAAAAGCTGGAGGCACGACGCTACCCTTCCTAAATACCGTAACAATTCAATCAATGAATCATGTCTGGGTTAAATCCATTTGGCACACCGGAGACTCCTGCGCGATATTTGCTCTGGGATTTGGAGCCTCGAATTGCGGAATATCATTTCTCTGTACGTTCGGCAAAAGTGGGGATCACATTTGCCCTGCTCTTTGCTGATTGATGGGCTTTTGTTTTGTATAATAATGGCGCCGTTAGGACACATAAGAATGCTTCGGGTTAATGGGAAACCGTGTCCTAAATAAATGCTAATTTGTTGAAAATGTTAAATATCCTGTTTCCGGTTTTCCTGAGGTGACTGGTGTCAGTCAATTTTAAACCATGTGAAATAAATTAATGAAATGTAAAATTAATTAAAACAAAAAAATGCGTTTCGTTATTTCATCAGGACACCCAGTATTCCAAAAAATATTTCAAATAAAATCTTTCCTGGATTTTTTTTAAGTTAAACTCCTATTTGACAAGGCTAAATTTTGGGCAAAAAAATCATATGGTGGTGTAAAATCGGATAAATGATGACCTCAGGCGTCCAAAACAGATAATTTTACGTAAAAAGCTGCCCTTGTTACAAAGTTATGGAGCCAACCGTTTTCAAGAAAAACACAGTAAATGGACAACACCAATAACTTATTCCTGTTTCGAATGCCTCATTTATCCGATTTTACACTACCAGATGAATTATTACCTAAAGAATACCCCAAAAATTTGCAAAAAAAGTTTCTTTTCACTAAATATATTAAAGTTATTTCCTGAGACCCTGTATTAATATTATGTGTCAAAGAAAGTTGCCAGATTTTGTTTAAATTTATCTTAATTACAAAAATGACAAAATCAACACTGCGAATTTTATGACAGAATCTAGTAAGTTACCATTAATTACTGAATTTCTTTCAAATTTTAGGTTATGTCCTCAAATTGTAAATATCTTAACTAAGGGAAGTTCTTTTGTGTTTATTTACATAAATTAAATGTTTAAAGTTAAACCTGTAAACTTTTTGCGGTTGTGGAGTTTTTAAAATAGGTACTAAATTTTCTAATCATTACTTAATCTAATAGCTGGATGAGAAAATAAAGGGTGTTAGAGCTTTAAGAGTCTAAATCTTTTGTACAGGGTGATCCCCTATAATGTCGCCCCTCTTTAACTTTCTTATTTTAAGTGTCCCAAAAAATTTTAAAGTGTGGTTATGTAGGTACTTTTTTCTACGTATAAAGAAAATTGGAAAATTTATCAGTATACAGGGAAAACAAAAAGTTTACTTTTTTTCAATGGACCACCCTATATATGTTTATTATTATTATTATTATTATTATTATTATTATTATTATATACCTAAATTCAACTGTTTTTGAAGTATTTAAATTATTTTTAAGATAATAAGTTGAAATAGTTTGTCTTTCTCTGTCTGAGTAAGCCATTTTTACTTATTTAACAAGACATATTAACATAATGTAACTATAGTAAGTTATTCAATTATTCAATTAAAATTTTGGGATACTGAGGCTTCTTGATTTCTACCAGTTTAAAAAAACATTTAATGATAACATTTCGAATGCGAATATTTCAGAAACGGTTGAATTTAGGTACATATATGGTTTGTTATATGAATTATGCTCAAAATTTTACAAGGAATCGAAAAATAAATTCATATATAGGGTGATCCATTGAAAGAAAAATAAACTTTTTGTTTTTCCCTCTATATTGATCAATTTACCATTTTTTTTAATACGTGGAAAAAAAGTATTTTTTAGTACCTACATAAACACACTTTTAAATTTTTTGGGACACTTAAAAAAAAATTTAAAGGGGGCGACATTATAGGGGATCACCCTGTATTTATTAAGTTTTTATTTATTTTTTGCAAGAAAAATTTTTAGTGACAATTTTTTAAGACTGGTAACGCAAAGATAATTTGTTTATTGGTATCTATGTACTCACAGAACAGAAGTGTGTAACGTAAAGTGGCGTATCAAAAAAAATATAAAAAAGTTCTAATGCATATTTTTTCTTTATCTTTATTAAAAATATTTCTTCGTTACACCTTATGTCAAAAGGTATTCAGTATTTTAATATATTACATTAATTACATAACACCCTGTATGGCAGAGTTTTTTGACAACCTTTCGTAAACACCCTGAATATTACACTGTAACAAATTTTAAAATTAATTAATTTAAAACTTACTTAAAATTTACTGTTATTGGAAGGAAGATCCCACATAAGATTACAGTACGAGTCCATTATTTTGTAATTAAGATAAGTCCAAACTTAAGTTAATAATTTGGCAGTTTGCCAGAATCTACAGGTGTTTAATTTAATACACTAAGATAGGAGATCAAATGATAATTGACAATGAAAATAATTAAATTAAATTTTATTGCTTTAAGTACTAATAAATTATACCTGTTAACTTAAAAATTAAATTAATTTTTCATAACTTAATCTAATTTAAATTTTAATAACTTTTCTGCGATATGCTTAAAAGCATAGACATACTAGTTTGTTTTGTGTGTTTTCGCTTAAAATACAATGGTGGTTTGTTATGCATTTGGTTGTTAAATCTATATAAGTTATAGTGACAAAACAGAGTTACAGGTAAAAATCTATATTCGAGCCTAACTAAATAAATGGACGGTCTTTTATTCAGAATTACATCATTTGCAAATTTTGCATGAAACTGTTTACAGCTTAGTTCACACATTCCAAATTCATTCTTTTTTATTGTCTATGCTGAAACAGGCACATTAGGGTGCTTTTTTTCACGACTATTTATATTTTTTTGCTCCCCACTCAAAATATTGTTGAAAATGTTCAGAAAAAAAATCCCTGAAAATTTAAGCCCTTAATATTAACTCTAAGTCCTCTCTCAAAGGGTATAAAGATTTCACTTTTAAAATACACGTAAACTTTGATTTTTTTGTAAATATCTATATCTCGTAATCAAAAGTTCTACAAAAATGCTTTATGTGCCATAGCTGTAATCTGCACCTGTAGGATGGTACTGGTCACTAAATCTGATTTTAGTGAAAAATTCTCATATTTTTGAAGATATTGTGTCTGGGTTCATCGAAAAAATGTAAAGGACAAACTTGTAGAAAATTTAATTTTCTTTAAAAAAGGTTTTATCAGTTAAATCGCTAAGATTGATATTTGTTAAGATTACGATTAAGACATTTTATGAAATTTTTCAGGATTTTCGTACCAAACTTTTTATAAATGATGATTTTCAATTGTTTTTTCTACACTTGGGTGATTAGAGAAAAATAAATAACTAAAACAATCAAGAATAATTAATAATAACATAACTTTAAAAAGAAAAGATATATCTAACCTAAAAATTGATATAACAAGGTGTATTACTTACAACATGTTATTTTATTAATAATTAGGCTTGATTGTTTTATTATTATTATGTAGATATAAAAACAAATATGTTTTGAAAGTTTCACGTGTTTTATTTACTTTTGACAATTGTTTCGTCACACAGTGACTTCTTCAGAATGTAAATATTTGATTGTTTTAGTTATTTATTTTTATCTAATCATTCGACTGTAAAATAAACGTAATTACATTGAGAAACAATTGAAAATCATCATTTATACAGGTGTTTATAAAAGGTGTATCACCCTGTACATATAATATTCATAATGAGATTTAAATTTGAATCCCGAATTTCTCTAATGACGTACTATACATACATGATATACTGTTGAATTTGCAACGCTCTTTGGTTATGGCCTTAATGAGTTCATTAGTATGAGTGACAGCCAAATAGACGGTGTTGACATCTAAAGATTTAATTCTTGTATTTATGCATGCAAAGAAGATTTTTAATAATTCAGCTGCCTGGCAAACGCAAAATTATACAAGATTTTTTAGCATTAAAAAAAATAACAAAAGTAAAATTGAAGGAGTTTCAATAAGGTCTCACAAATAAATATATACAGTGCAGATGTAAACCACTCTCTTTTATTTTTAGGTTAGAAATCGGAATTTACTAATTTTTTATTTTCTGTATAGGGTGTCAAAATAAGAAAGTTTGACGTGATCATTTTTTGTATTAGGGTCATTTTCAAGAAACACCCGCTTTCAGGAAAATGAAGATCAAAATATTTTTTTTGCTTAAATTGACTTTTGGTTGGATTTTTATAAATGTTTAGAGTTTTGTTTACTTACATTTAAGACAGGCAGTGCACTTTTTTTAACGTTTCTTTCAGAAAAATGTGTTTAGCTAGCTTTATATATCTTCACTGTGTTACCAAATTGAAATCCAAAATTTAATTCATTAAAAAAAGTTGTTATAAAAATAATTTGAAATAAAATGTACTTAGTTCACAAACTTTTGTCTCCAATTTTTTATTTTATTTTTTATTAAAAATTGTATGCTTTTTTTTAAACATGTTTGTTCGTTAAGTTACTTTTTAAAAGAAACCATTCCGATTCTTTGTTAAAAAACAATACCATTAATATTTTCTTTTAGTCACTGTATTAGTGAATTAAACTCTAATTTTTAAACAAGTATTACCAAGTGATAGTGTATAAAAATCATTTTAAGTATTTTTTTTTTAACAAAAACTAAAAAAAAGTAACAAAATAGACATTGGTATCACAACGGTCAGGGGTACACCAAGGACTTAATCAGATAACGTAAAAAAGAAACTATATAGGGTGGTACGATTTTAGAGTAATGCATAAACAAAGTCCCTTGTAGTGGTGCTCACTTGCAGAACAACAACTTAAATTTCTAAATTATAGACACCCTTTTTCTTTGACTATAAGCTGGTGAAGGTCCCTTTTAGTACTTGTATATTGCGTGGAATTTTTCCTTGGATGTTATCTATATCATGAGTTGTAATTACAAATAATTTTAAATTGGTTAATCATAAACTACTTTTAATAAAAGTGACGGTAAATATCCACTTTGTTGTCGAAAAATTCCATTGCGTTACCCTAAATTCCATTGCGTTACCATAAGGTAACATGGTGGACTCGGTAACGCAGTGGACAAAGTTTTGTAAAACCATATTTAAAAAATAATAATAAGACATTATAATCATTAATTACTCTCAATGAGCTTTAGTGCCCTAAAATAAATCGATATCCAATATCTTCTTCTTGATTGAATAAATAAATTCAGCTGGGTAATGTGTACGTCCGAACATCATTTGTTGGAAAAAATGTCTGGGACTTGAGTCAAATTTAAAAAAAAGTAGATTAAAATTAATTATTTTATATATAAATTGTTTACTATAAAGCAACACAAAGTTCTGGTTATTCAATATTTAAAAAAAAAACATGTATGTTAGTTGTATAAAACGCTAATGGGACATGCGAAAATGTGTGTTTCACAAGTTTCAAAATTAAAAAAAAATTATTCTGAAATAACTAAACAAAAATTTTCTGAAAGAGTTTACTAAGGGCTTGTTAGGCTTTCACTTGGTTTTTAAATCAATAAGATCCGATAATTTTTAACAAAGTTATTGGAATTCAAACTTACGGACAGCGGAAGGCGTGTGTTTTTTGAAAACGACCCATTAGTACCATTTTATTTGTTAAAAAAATCATTAAGATGTTTATAAGTAAAGTGGACATTTTGTGCCGCCACTGGTTGAGGCATATCTCTTTTTAGGGAACGATTTTTTCAGTTCTGGATAAAAGAAAAGCTCACAGGGGGCTAAATCTCGAGAATATGGAGACAAATTCCTTGTTTTTTTCTTGGCGAAACACGATTGTTATCGTTGCCAATAAAGACTTTTTTATGTGTATGTTAATGTTGTTGCGAATCGTAACAGCTTGATTAGCTATAAATCTTGACTTTATCTTTTCAGTTACATCGCCGTAACGCAACCGATAAAGTACGCGAAACACAAGAACACGCGGAGAGTGTGGCTGACGATATGTCTGGTGTGGATGATATCGGCGGCGATCGGATCGCCCATAGTTTTGGGCCTAAACAACACGCCTGATCGCGTGCCCGACGCCTGTCTCTTCTACAATAGCGACTTCATCATCTACTCAAGCCTCTCCTCCTTCTACATACCCTGTATCATAATGGTGTTTCTATACTACAATATTTTTAAGGTAAGTTAGGCAAACATACACACTGTTATAAAAATCAGAGTTTGTAGTTTATTAATTTTAATTTGTAAAATTTTAACATAATTTTTTGTAGAAAACCACACAGAAAAAAATCTAACATAGTATCAAGAACAGCGCTGTCATTGAATGCATTAAAATTGAAGCAATCTAAATTGTTATTTGCTCAATTAATTACTATTAAACTAAAATAGGGAAATATTTTGCCTAAATGTCAAAGAATTTATTGCGTTAAATATATGTATACATAGTATACATACAAAAGTAACGTTATTAAATAAATCAAATTAGTATTTAATGCGAATAATATAAATATCAATAGATTTAGGAGCGATAACTTTTGTTGTTAATTTAAAAACAGTAAACGATTATAAACCAAGTACTAACTACCTATTGGTATTATAGGAACTGTTATTCAGGAATACGGATTACAAGATCCCATTGGTTTAATGGTTCACCCATTCATGCTACGCTAGCGTTTTTTCTGTGCAGGGTTTGTAATTATAAAATATTTTACCGAAAGTTTGTAAAGGTAATATAGGCGATTCCTTGATTACTAACGGGACACACAGAAAGAAGACAAAATGTTTTATGAATATTTTTGTGGATATGTTGTTCCTATAACAATAATTTTATAATAGTTATTATTACTTATTTTTTTTGCTGAGAACTGTCATAAAATTATTGTTATAGAAACAACACATTCTCAAAAATTTTCATAAAACATTTTGTTTCCTTTTTGTTGGTCCCGTTAGTAATCATGGAATCGCCCATATGTAATTTTGTAAGCATTTTGTTAATTACAAAGGTTACAGATTATTTTACAATGTTTAACAAATTATTTCGTTGAAAAAGAAGTCAATCAAATCATTTTCCACTGACAATAAGCATCAACAAGTTCAACTGACTTCAATAATAATAATAATAATAATAATAATAATAATAATAATAATAATAATAATAATAATAATAATAATAATAATAATAATAATAATAATAATAATGTATTTATTTAGTATCAGTGCTACATAAAAAATACAACAAAAATAGAAAAGTTTACAATCAGAATTTTAACAAAACATTTTTATAAATAGAAAACTAAATCTTAATTAGATATAATATAGTAAATATAATATAAAGAAGACAAAAATGCTAAAAAAATTTAGCTTAAAACAAATCTTCTCAGAAAATTTTTGAACTGATTTATATTATCACAGATTTTAATATTCACAGGTTCAGATCATTCGACTAAAAATAAGTAGATTTTGTCTAAAACATTTTTTCATAGTTGTAATAGATGGCGCTGTAATAAAAAAAATCATTTTTGTTCGATTTTTCTTCTGTATACGATTCTCCAATAATTTTTGAATAAATACTTGGTCTTTAAATTTATCTATTTATTTCGTTTTAATATTCTGCTAATACTGCTCTGGGATATTCCCAAATCTCTAGATAATTCTCGTGTGCTTGCATGAGGATTAGCGGCCGTTGCTGCTAATACATTTATTTCATTATTTCCACCTGTGACTGTTCGACGAACTCTTTTTTTCTGTTGAATACTCCAGTTTGTAGTAAACTGCTTGACTGTACGGTGAAATGAAGTAAGTGATCGAATTTTTTCCGGAAAACGCTGAGCGTAGACATTAACAGCATCATCAAGATTCCTGCCTGCTTCTCTATAAATCATAATCATTTCTATTTTTTCTTCCACTGTTAAAAAATCCATTATGAGTAACTGCTTAACGAAAGGAGGTATTTTTGTTTGCAAATTAATCCTCGAAATAAATTGATAAAATAATGTTAAACTATGTATAAACAGTTTCTTTATACCTCAATAATAATTATTATTTATAACTAAATACCATTTTTTATACCTCAATTAGGATTAAATTAATTAATTGACAAAATAATATTTTTTTACCTTAAATGAGGTATTTTTATTAAAAATGGTACAATAATCCTTTAAATTAAAGGATTTAATGCTGGCAGGTAAAAAGTGACCATGGTGCGCAATTGATAATTATCACCGAATGAAAATGTATAAACTTAAACCAAAGGAAACTTAAATATTAGTTAAAAAATCGTGAGTATTTAAAAAAATCAGATTTAATTTAATAAGATAATTATTACCAAAAGAGTGATATTTTTATAGAAAAATTATTGCAGAATCGTATAAGAAGAAAAATCGAACAAAATTGATTTTTTTTATTACAGCGCCATCTATTACAAATATGAATATGTTTTGGTCAAAATCTACCTATTTTAAGTCGAATGATCCGAATCTGCAATAAAAATAGGGTGTTCCATTGGAAATTTAAAAGTTACCCCCTGCTCCCCCTATAAGGAGGAGAGTATGAGGACCAATTTTAGTACTGATTGATTATCCCCCTCGAATTATTTAATTTTTATTTTAAACATTTAACCCTGTATACATTGACAGATTCTTACCTATTCTGTTTATAAATAAAACTTTTTTTGAGAATTTTTTTTATAATAAAGTCTGCATGTCACCTCTACCATATCATTGATGTACAATAAAAACAATAATGGGCCCAAAACCGTCCCTTGAGGTACACCGTATTTTACACATTTTGAAAATTATAAAAATTATAGTTGAGTTATTGATATAGGATTATGTTATTAAATCTACAAAATGTTTTTATAATTACAAACTACTTATTCAATTAGTAACAGATTACAGTTGGTTGTAAACTTGACATAAAGTTATGTGGACCTGGATTAACATAAAATCTGGTTAAAATTTTGTTAAAATCAGTGGCGTAGCTGCTGGCAAAAAAATTTCTGGGTCAAAGTCTATTTTGGGCAAACAAAATAAATTTTTTAGGGTATAATTTTTTTGCATTTACCAATTTCTTATAATTAAATAAATAATATATGTATACATAGCTTTTTATGTACAGGCAAATTTAAAAATTTGGTTTGGTTTTAGAAAGTTAACGTTCTTCAACATCTTTTAAAGGGTTTCTATTTTAAAATAAAGGAAATAATTGAAACTCAAATAATTATTTCTAATTTGCTATTAATATAACCTATGATAATAAAACACAAAGCAGACTCATTATGCGGCGCAGAGCACAAAACAATATGGGCAGACTGCTCCGCAGACAACGCATAGCGGAAAGGTGCGGGCAGAAACATTTCGTATGAGTTCACGGCCTCGTTGGAACAGGAGGGTATTCAGGAAAATTTTAATTTAATAAATCGAAGTATAAGAATTAAATAATAATATTATTTATTTATTTAATTTCATTCCTCAAATTTTTGTAACATGTTGGTAATATGTTGTTTGCTTACGCATGTCGAAGCCAATCGGGCCCCCCCTAGCTGGTAGCTACTCCCCTGGTTAAAATTAACAAATATTTTTTTACTGTGCAGTATTTAGTAATTTTCTTTTCTTCAGGCTTTAAGGATGCGCGCGATGCAGCAACGCTTCAACCGAAAACCGCTGCCTAGCGAAATAAAACCGGGCTCGGTTATCGAGAACGTGTCGAACCCGGGCCGGCTGGCCGAGACGGCCCTGGGGCCCACCATCGAGGAGCAGGCCACCAACACCGGGTCCGGATCTGGCGACGAGGAGGACGAGGGGGGCGAACAGGAATGTCACGTGATCTCCAACGATAAGACCACCGAGTTCATTTTGGCCACCGTGGTGGAGGAAGCGGCGTAAGTGTCAATTTCGAGATAATAATGATCATTATTTTGCGCACGGATACGGTACACTTTTTTATCTTGTTTTTGTTCTGGATTTTTTATTCAACAATAGTTTTTTTTATTTAATTCAAGACATAACACAATTGTTCTTGCTTTTATGAAATGGGCGAATCTCACGAAATGTCCCCCGATGATATTGCATTTAATTAGCACTTTCGTAAGTTCCAGTTATATTTAACTAGAGGTAAATTGTTAGTTAAATTGTAATCTGTTTTTTTCGTGCATCACAACTTAAATATTACCGGAAATTGACATATATAACCTTATTTTGCAGTGTAAAAGTGAATTAAGAAAAGTAAACTTTGTTTTGTTATTACTGGCGTCCCGACTCGTCGGGAATATACTAAAATTTACAGGACCTCTCAATCATAAATTGTTTAAATTAAATTTGGGAAGCTTTGGTTTAAGTGTATAAATTTATATACTTAAACCGAAGCTTCCCAAATGTAATTTAAACAAAATATGATTCCTATAAACAAATTGTGTATATTTGATTATATTTCACCCTCCAGTTTCAATTTATCCCATTTTACGTTATTGTACATTTGCAATAAGTATACTTTTTTTTTTGGCTGGCGGAGAAATTCTTTACGAACACTCGGTTCCTCTTGGGGCCCCGAGTAGTGTGGGACTCCGTCTATTGACGTATACCCACTAAAACTCCCCTGTTAGGTGGTTTAAAGCCCTGCACTGCGGTTTGCTTTTGCAATCCCATTGTGCCCTAAATGGTATTACTTACATAGCTCTAGCTCCGTTGCTTCTATGAAGCGCAGTAGCCGAGGCAGTGGGAGCAATTTTAAAAGTTCTGGTGTGAGTTTAGACTCTCCCAGGTGCGTTTTTCTTAAGGTGTTGAATTCCTCACATTGACACATAATGTGAAGAGGTGTTTCCTCTTCTTCTTCGCATCCTCTACACAAGGGATCATCTGTCATCCCCATTTTGTGAAGATGTTTTTTGAATGGAGCATGGCCTGTGAGAAGGCCTAATGCTTTCTTTAGTTGGGTCCTGGTATATGTCCTCATTGGTTTCTGCCCTTCAGCAGATGGATTGTCCAAAAGTGCTTTCGAATGCTCCAGACCAGAGGCTTTCCCAGTATTGTTTGTGTTGTAGTTCTGTCCAGTCAATTAGTTTTTTCCTGGACGATTCTTGGCTGGTGCCGCATGTGGGTTCCGGCCCCATCAGCAGGGTTTCGGCTTCATCAACTGCGAAGTTTGGCTTCCACCTTATCGAACTGTTTATGCCTTCTTCTTGCACAAGGATAGGAGTTATCTGGTTTTGTGCTTCGGTTAATGCCGTCATATCTCTCAGACATTCTAGTACGGCCTTCGAATTGATTTCAAATGCCTCCAGTGCCTGGATTGGTTCTGGTTCGTGTGTAATGATGGTGAGCAACTTCTCCGTGGGATTGCTCTCCCTCATTCGTTGGAAACCCAATTGTATAGCAATGATGCCCGCTTGAAGATCGGTTATCTCTTTTCCCAGGTTTAGTATTTCTTGACTGCCCTGTTGAGATACCTCGTTTTTGCCATAAGTATACTAAATGCCGTTTTGTCTAGTACAATTTGCAATGTGGATTGATACCAAATTCAGTTTATGCTTTTTTTATCTAATCCGGTTAAGTTTGGGTTATTAAAACTAGTTTAAAGTATAAACAATTGTTGAGTAAAAAACCCTACGAAAAGAGTTAATTTTTAACAATTTTGTTCCATAATTATGTTAAACACGTTTATAGTTTGAGATAAATTCACTTTACTTATAAAATGGAAAATACTCACTGGCTAAAAAGAATCGCTTTGCGGAAATAATTTACTAACTTTAACTTTACTTAACTTGCAAAAACAAAATTTATTTTGTCATTTCATTACATTTGATTTAAAAACAGCCAATTCTCTAACTGATGTGATATTGTATCTCCAGAACGTAAATTACAAAAGGTAAAAACGCGACAACATTCGCTTTTGACAGTTACACTTTTATAAGAAGTGTTATTTGAAATCTAAACATGAATTGTGAAAACAAATGAAGTAAACTACAAAGAAAAAAATATTTTAAAAACAAGGTATGGAAACAAAACATAAAGCAACAGAAAACACGCAGTATGATGAATGCAGTGAAAGTCTAAAGAGAAGAGCAGAAAACAAAGAGATTGTCTAATTATTAAAAAAAACTTATAAATCAAACCATATATCACGTGTTTATTATACAGTGTTGCCGGATCTTCTAGACAAGAATTTTGGTTGGACACAGTCAACATTATTGTTTATTATTGCAAAACTGTGCGGTAATAGTTAAGAAAAATGTATATGGCAACTTAATTATTTTTTTACTCGGAATCCAGACGGTCAATATTTTAAGTAGACCTGTGCCCAAAGTAAGACTTCATTTTTATGTATTTTGAAATAACATTTTAGCAATTAGTGCCTTATTCTCTACGTTTTTAGTTGTTTTATCTAAATTGTAAAATTAGTATAGGATAACGATTTTATAAGTCAAAAAGTGTGCGTTTAGGGTGTTTCACGATTCTGACTCTATGTCCTGACCATTGTTACATTTATTTGAAATTCAGCGAATTTTCTTAGGGAAACATTCCTAAAAATTACAGGCTGGAGGCCACCATATACCACTGTCACAAGAAACAATTTACTATTTTTTTTATAAAATTTTACTTTGTTTCGGGTGTTACCATGGTTCTGTTTCGGGTGTTACAAGTACAAAAAATAAACACTTTATATGGACAAAATCGGTGTTTTATTGGTCTCTAGGTTCTAAAAAATAAGTTAGTAAGTTAGTTTTCAATCAAGAAAAACATATATGAAATTAGTCTCATGCTCAAATATTAGTTGGTATTTTAAATCATTACCACTATAACGTTACTTTTACTAAATATTATTACACTAATCAATCTGTAAGGTATAATAATAAAACAATAACATGATTTTTCGTTTCGGGTGTTACAGTGGCAAAGTAAGAAGAAAACACACTTATAACGTGATAATTATCCATTGTTTCAAGACTGTGACACAATCCACCAATACTACGATAAATAATCTCAAATTACAACGAGGGAAAATGGTTGACAGATTGATAGTTTTTTTTCTTATTTCCAATAGTTAGAGGCATAATGGTCATTCAGCCAGTTCACTTGAGTACTGATTTTGAAGACTAATTAACTTAAAAATTACGCGTTTCTTCTAGTTTTTATTGTCTCATATTAGATTTAATGCGAAAAGAACATATATATTTTTTCACCCTATATTTTTATAAAATGAAAGGTTTTTATTTTTTTAATTAGTTTGTTTCCAACAAATACCTATTTAATGAATTTTTCTCAACTATATTTTATGTCTTGCTTTAATATTTTTTTCATTAATAAATTTTTAAATATAATATAGCACTGTCAAGCCGTTACTCGTAAACCTTACAATTTTTATTTTCCTTCTGACACGAAAACGAATTTCGAAATCTTTCACTGTATATCAGTGATATTAAACCACAACGATTGACGTGCCTTAATATACGGTCTTTCTGCTAACCAACTTGAAGTAAATTATTTGTCAAAAAACAAAGAACAACCAGGACTGACTGCTTTTATGTTTCCACGATGCAACATTAAAATAAATTATTTACTTTTAATAATGAAAATGCATATCTAAAACTTAATTCAAACACAGTGGTTGCTTTGAATAATTCCGCTCCCAACAATCGTAGCCAGAGTTTAAATTAAAATCTACTGTGTACTTTAATTTAAAATTTCATTACAATTTAATTTTAGGTAAATGAATGTTTCCACAATTTTTAAGAATTATAAATTTCCCAAATGAGAAACATTTTTGTGTCATGTTTTATGATTATGTAATCTTTCCATCAAAAAAACTATTTTAAAATGAAAATAAACATAATAAAATACCAATATTGTCGACTAAATATTGAAGTTGAAAATCAATAATAATAAATCGTTTGTAAATATGTATTTAAGTAAATGAAATGTAAATTTTATGAAATGTATTTCTGTAAATACATGAAGTTTATGAACTTTTACCCATTCTAGGTTTTCACACGAAAATGATGGTGGTAGATACGATGATGTGTAAGTTTTTTTAGTTCAAATACACCCTACCAAATATTTTCCAGGATTTGTACACACTTTAAAAACCAATCACCTAACACCCAATCTATAAATTTAATTATTTTTTTTTACTCCCACCTTTAAAACACCCTTTATCGTAAATGTTTCCATGACACTAAGTGACCTTTTAAATACACATTGACAAGTTGTGGCTTTATGGCGCTTTAGTCACGGGCTGAAGTTAGTTTTAAGTTAGTTGACAGTTGTCAAATGTCATACAATCGTTACAATAAATTGCCTTTCTTGTAAAATAATACTATATGTGAAAATTATTTTATTATCTTAATACAAAAATACAAAAGTATTAAATAGTTTCTCAACGCCAATATTTGAAAAGTTTATATGAACATTGTACTGACTTTTAATTTCGCCGGCTGTAAACTATAACTTAAATTCGGGGACGGACTCCACTGTAAAGTGCTCATAAAACATTTTCTTTACTTTCACTGTGAAAAACTGTAATTTTCAAGAAATACATTTCGATTTATAACCTTTATAATCTATGTTTATAAAATGTAAAAATTTGACATTTGACGGTGACACACAGATTCCCCTATTGTTTCATAGATGGCGCTCTATAAAAATATTTGATTTCAATCATTTTAAGATAATAATAAGTATTTGTCGTAGAAAAGGTATAGTATGCACCTCGTTTATAAACTTTTCTATACACTCATTAATTTAAGAATTCGCTCGCAAGCTTGCTCGTGCCTAAATTAAATTTACTATTAAACACTATTAACTAATTTTCTGGGTGTCCAAAAAATACCACAAAAAACTAAAATAATGTCCACACTAAACTATATACAGCATGTAAAAATTATATTTTTTAAGTAACTCAAAAATAAGAAAGAAACAACCTTTCACAGTTAATTAGGTTTAATCCAACATAAAGTTTTTTTTTATAGTGGATGCTCAATAATTATAAATTTATACGAAATATCCCCAAGAGCTTTTACTTTAAAATCTAATTTACTGTTTAATTAAGACTCTTTTTAATAAAAAAAATTACGCATTCAAAATGGTGTGGATATCAGTCGTTTTTTCATTCAAGTCCATAGGGATTAAAGCAAGCTACAGTTCTTCGCTAAATATGATGTAAAAATTTAAAATTAAAATTTTAATCAATACGTCAAAAAGTATCAATATTTTTTATTCTTTTTTTTACTCTGTTGCATTTCTTTAATTAACTTATGCTGAAAAATTAATGGAAATGGCCAACTTGATTACCATTTTAATTAAAATAATACTGTAATTAAAATGTTAATCAAGTTAATATAATATTATTATTTAAATAATTTGAAATGAGATTTGTTTTAAATGATTTAATTTTTGTAATACTTGTTCACAAAATTCACAATTTTTTCGTTACAAATTATTTGAGGTTTTTGTCCATAGGAATTTCTATACCTACCATGTTAAAAAACATTGGATCATCCCTTCAGGCTTTGTTTATTTTATTAATTCAATGAAACAGAGTTAATTAATTTGGTTTCAAAACCTAATGATATGTTAAATAAATATTCGATAATGATTAAAATCAAATTAATCATGTAAATCCGTTACCTCTAAAGCATTGCATACAATAAACCACGTGGAAATTTTACACCATTTTTAATTCTTTTGTTGGTTGGTTTATCTGACTATTTGTATCTCTTTGAATGGCATGAATTGCAATTAAGAGCCTTTATAAAATAAATTTTATTTAAAGTAGTAAAGTTTACACAAAAAATAAAAATACGATATATATTAATATATTTATAATAATGTAATATAAATTAAATAAATATCTAAAAAAAATACGAAATAGTCATAGTCACCCTGTATAATACAAGTATTTAAAATAATTATTACGAAGTATTTTTGTTTTTGTTTTAATTATTCAAGTAGAGTTTAAGAAGCTATTTGCCAATAATATGGACAATAATTCATACAATTACATATTAAGGACTTTCAAAATAAATACACAATTGTCTCAGGTATGATAACCCTCCAGATTTTTGTCCCAAACATTTCCTTAAAATGCGCACTCTTGTACAAATTTACCTTACTATTATAACTGCGCACTATTAGGACATCTTACCTATTAACATCCACTCCATTGCTAATTCAAGGCCTTGCGGAGGTGTTTTTTCATCATATTTATTAATACAAAGGCAAAACCCATAAATTTCGTATTCCCCCTGGTTTAGATAATGATAAAACTCATAAATTACAGACCTTTTCTATAATTCTGTTTTATTGAAATGTATTTTCCTAAAAATGATTCTATAAGGATATTAAACATAAGCGTTTTCCGAATTCCACTCTACCATGGGCCTACATCCTATGCCTATAAATCTTTATTGCGAATAATATTTTATATAAGTAATGTCATATAGGGTTTAATACATATTTTAGCAATAATGTATTGCCAATTTTTATTTTTTTTAATTTTGACGTTTTATATAAAACTTGATCTATTATTGGTATTATTTTTTTAATATCAAGTATTTATTAATATTTTATAATACAAATTTAACATCTTTTATTTGTTATGTTATAGTACCTGTCACCAAGTATATTTCTATGTATGGGTATCATTTTTATTTTAAGGTTTACAATTCATTCATTGCAAAAATATTAAAATGACAAAAATTCTGCGGTTTTTAAATAATTTCAATAAAACTAAATACCTGTAAAAACGAAAAATCGTTAAATAACGATTTTATATAACTTCGTTATCCCTGGGAGTTTTTTTGCCTTTTGTTTATCCTTTTTATTTTTGAAAGGTTTTTAGTTTTTTTTAATATTTTAAGAACAGCTGGCCTTTTTTTCATTTCATAAATGCGTTAAAAGGCATGTAATAATGCAACTTTTCTCTTGTAGCCTTTTAAATAAAAATTACCAATAGAGTATAAACATTGAAAGATACTTAGTGCCCCCTGTATGGTATTGAATTTTGATTACCTCCCTTTTAAATAAAATTCATGAATATATTTTTTTATACCCAGTCCATTTCACATGCGTAAAACTCCCAAATAACTCGGTGTGTCTGACACTGTCTCATCAATTTTACCTAATTTTGCAATTTCGAAAATTTGTTTCAGCATATCGTCTGTAGTGGCCAGCCTGGCTTCGCCACCAAACCTGGCCGATCCTAACGGCAACAACGATTCAGGTTATGCTCCAAGTCAGCTGGAAAGTCCCAGAATCCAGTCGAATAAGCCCAGGAATCAGTCGTCGAAAAGAAATGGAGTCGATACTGAATTAAGGTAGGTAGTTACCATTTGTAAAATAGGTCATTTTAATTCATCATATATATATATATATATATATAGTCTTGGAATTCCATAAAAACAATTTTAACAATTTATAACTTTGTTCAAAAATGGCGAATGCGCCGGGATTAATTTTGTGAAATATAAAAAATGTTGATAAATTAGTTAACTTTACCATAGTTAATTATATATATATATATTAGGGTGTTTCGTTTAAAACGAAAATTTTTTTTTCTTGCTGACACATGAAAATTTTGTTTTTTAGGTTGAAAAAAAAATTCCCTGAAAATTTGAGCCCTTAACTTTTATTCTAAGTACTTAATTTTGTAGTTTTTCCATATAAAAAGCATGTATTTTTAATCATTTTTACTTTAAATTTCTATATGTAGGCCGGGTTTTGAATTGTAATTTTTATCACCATAATTTTCTGCATAGTATTCACGGTTTTTAAAAGGCCCCACGTTGGTACATTTGGCGTTTTCAACTTAAAAAATATATAATCTTCCAAACATTTTTTTTTTAAATAGTGATAATATTAGCTTTACTTTGCAAGAAAAATTAAAATCGCGTATGTAGCCGTTGTGAAGATATACACTTAAATGTATTTTTTATAAATTAATTTGCAATAGTAAGCTTAGTCTCTGTGTATCGCCTCTTGTGTTGAGGTTTTTTGGACATTTTTCTATTTCAATGGCTTCACTGATGGTACGTTTGGTTCTGTATTCGATGCTAGCCAAGACCCTTGTTTTTTTAAGTCAATTTTCCAATATAGCCAGCAATAGCCAACTTATTCATGGAAGACATAGTAGTATGAGCAATTGAAACGGCAACACTAAAATCAAAGTTATGGCTACGATACGTAGAAGACACATTTGTCATCTGGACCCACGGAGAAGAGGAACTGAAGAAATTCCTGGACCATCTCAGCAGAATTCCAAAATGGTTAAGTTCACAATGGAAACCGAGAAAAACAATTACATTTTCTGGATATCTTCATAATCAAGAAAAATAATGGCAAACTTGGGCAAAAGCACAGTCACACCACCACCCGTCACAACTGCAGTCAGTCATTAAGACACTTGTCACGAGATCCGAAAGGCTGGCGGATGATGACCACAAGAAGACCTGAAAATCCAAACGAGGCTACAGCAAAACGTATTCTTTAAAACCATCATCAAAAAGGCTCTTAGACCACGACGCCGGTTAAATACCAAAGAGGACTAATACAACAAACCAACTTCGTAGACCTTCCTTCCCTACGTGAAAGGGACAACCGACAGAGTAGGCAAAGTTCTCAAAAAACATAACATTGAGACAACATTTACCGCCCCAAAAAAGATCGGTCAAATACTTCCAAACGCCAAACCAAAAATAGAGTTGGAGGCACAAGGGGTGTACGAAATTCCTTGTAAGAATTGTGACGGAAGCTACGTGGAACAGACCAATAGACGAATCAACGTTAAACTCGAAGAACATCGTAACGCAGTCTTGGCTAGCATCGAACACAGGGCCAAGAAACCTCAACACATGAGACGATACACAGAGACTACCAACTGCATAAAAAGCAGCTCTCACAACCTCTAAAACGCCACGCAAATTAACGAGATTAATGTTCTGCTTTAGGTTTTCACGGGCGATATATGTATTGATGGTTTTCCGGGATCTGCTCTGTGTTGTCGGATTTTGTTTCTTAAAAGAACCGTATATCTGATGACGTTTCGGTACAATCTCATGTACCCTCTTTAGGTTTTATCTTCTAGGCTGCTGTTGCGGCTCTGCTGCTTTAGGTTTCCACTGGCGTTATATGTATGAATTCGCAGCAGAGCAGCAACAGCAGCCGAGCACATAAGACCTGTAGATGGTACATAAGATTGTAACGAAACGTCGTCCGACATACGGTTCATTTAAGAACCAAAACCCGACAACACGGAGCAGATCCCGGAAAACCATCAATATTTATATATATATATATATATCGATATATATATATATATATATATATATATATACATATATAGCGAATTGCTGTGGTATTTTTCACTAGAACACATGTTAAGCTTACTGTTGCGCATTCATTTATAAAAAAATACATTTAAGTGTATATCTCCACAACGGCTACATACGCGATTTTAATTTTTCTTGCAAAGTAAAGCTAATAATATCACTATTTAAAAAAAAAATTTTTGGAAGATTATATATTTTTTAAGTTGAAAACGCCAAATGTTACGTTGATTGTAGTAGCTCCAAAAGTCGTTTTTTCACTTTATTTCACATATTTTTGACAAAATCGAGCGAATGACTGGTTTTACCGAAAAAGTTCAAATAAAAAAGTTGTAGAAAATTTAATTTTTGACAAAAAAGGTTATTACGTTTATATCACTAAAGTGCTTTGTTTAAGAGATATAAGCAATATATAGTTGTTGAATCAAATTACATACATGTATACATAAATTTCAATAAAACCTATTTTTTCTTTTTGGTTGTTAAATTGCTTATATCTCTTAAACAAAGCACTTTAGTGATATGAACGTAAGAACCTTTTTTGTCAAAAATTAAATTTCCTACAACTTTTTTATTTAAAGTTTTTCGGTAAAACCAGTCATTCGCTCGATTTTCTCAAAAATATGAGAGAAAAAGTGAAAAAACGGCTTTTGGAGCTACTACAATCAACGTAAATAAATAAAGAACAAAATTGATGCAGTGCCTTTCAAAAACCGTGAATAGTATGCAGGAAATTATGGTGATAAAAATTATAATTCAAAACCCGGCCAAAATATAGAAATTTAAAGTAAAAATGATTAAAACTACATGCTTTTTATATGGAAAAACTACAAAATTAAAAAGGAAGTACTTAGAATAAAAGTTAAGGGCTCAAATTTTCAGGGAGTTTTTTTTTTCAACCTAAAAAACAAAATTTTCATGTGTCAGCAAGAAAAAAAAATTTTTCGTTTTAAATGAAACACCCTAATATATATATATATATTTATATATATATATATATATATATAGTCTTCGAATTCCATAAAAACAGTTTTAACATTACTTAAAATTTTAACTTTGTTCAAAAATGGCGAATGCGTCGGGATTAATTTTGTGAAACATAAAAAATGTATATAAATTGGGTTACTTTATTATCTACATATACACAATACCATAGTCAATTAAAGTAATGTAAATTAAACAGGCATATACAAAAATAAAAAAGTTTATTTTCGCCAAAATTCCAAATTAAAAACCGTATCTGCCGCATAAAGCTTTAGTGTCGCATTTCCTTAGCCGTTTTTATTTTGCTACTTTTTTATGGTATACATTGCTCATGCTTTTTTATTTCTTTTACATCCACCGTTGGAACCGAGTAACTTTTTTAGTCTTGATATCGTTTTAAACGTGCCGAACGGTGCTTTTTAAACGGGACTTTTGTTTTTACTACTTATCTTTTTCGCGCGACACACAGCAGCGTTTCTATTGATTTAAATATATTTTGGGGTGATATCTTCTAAGGGTGATATCCTAAGCGACAAAAAACACCGTGGATTTTAGCATTTTTAATTGGGGGTTTGCCTATAAAAAAGCTTTGTGTTAAAAATTAAATAATTACAATAGCAGTTAATTAAATATTATATTATACAGGGTGTCCCAGAACTCGCGGTATACGAAGTGGTATTTAACGCATGTTTTTATGAGGTTTACTGTTTAATGTTTTTTATAGTTCAAATTATTTTGTTTACTGATTTTTATGGTTCAACTTATTATTTAACAATTTTTCTTTGTATCATGGGTACGGGATTTGCGTCGAGCAGGTCAAAATCTATTGGACTGAGCTATTTTTATTACCGACCTTTTTTTGTTGTTGACTAGTGATATCAACTCTCTAAAAATGACTAATTTAATAATTATTAGTGGCTGTTTTTTCACTTGTATCATGGTTAACTATGGAATACCATGGTTTCCCAAAATTTAACAGCCAATTGTTATGTAAAATTGCCCCCTGAATCCGAAAATACCGTCAAAAATTATGAAAGTGGAGCAGTTTTTGAGATATAGTCAATTCCATATTAAATGAGATATTATCTCAAAAACTGTTCTACTTTTTTTAACTTTTGACATTTTCGAATTCGGGGGACAATTTTACATAAGAATTGTCTGTTAAATTTTGGGATATCATGGTATTCCATAGTTAACCATGGTACAAGTGATAAAGCAGCCACTAATAACTATTAAATTAGTCATTTTTGACTAATTAATTTTTAGAGAGAAAAGTTTTTGTGAAAATTAAGTTTAAAAATGAAGTTTTCGGCCATTCATTCATAAATAAAAAATCAAGTAGGTACATCGAAAGTGAGTTTTTTTGTGGACATTATTGTCTTGCCAACTTAAAGGATTCAGTGGGATTTAAACATCAAAGTCGGCTCAAAAAATCAACACCGCCTTTGGCAACTAGATTTGTGCGCAAAAAATCAGATATTGAATCTATAGCATTAAGTTTCATACCTTCGTCTCAAATATTTCAATTAATTTTTACAACCTTTGGAAATTTGAATTGAAATCCGATTTAACTTTCTTTCTTTATGAATTCTTTTTGTTGCTGGATTATAAAACATCGGCATGAAACTTGAAAAGTGATTTTTTATTCCTTAATAACTTGGATTTCAGCAAAAAAAACTATTAAAATATTTACCAATGGTTAAGTCTAATTGGTATTGATTAAAAAATCCGCTGAGTATATTTTTCCTAGTATGCTTCATTAGTGTTCATATTACCTTTTTAATTAGGAATTTTGTTTTAGCAAAATAAGGCTAATTAATAAATTATTAAAAAAAAATTTTATTGACGTTTATCGAACATTTTGTTTTAAAATACCTTCTAGGTACCAATTAAAAAGTATTCCCTTGATGCTTGTTTGTTTGGTTGGCAGCTGCAAAACTTGGTTTAAGATAAAAAAAAAGTTTCATACATTTTTAACCCTTTAAGATTTATTAATTCAAGTTTATTAAATATACCGGGTGTATCTGAGAACTTTTTTTATTTATAAAGATAGACACATGAAATTTAGCATGGTTAATTAGGATATAAAATGCCACTTATAAGAGTACAAAATGAATTTTTTGAACTTCCGGTTTCGCCGGAAATGATATCAACTTTCGATTTTTGAATGAAACGCCCTATATATTTTTACATAGTTAGAATCCTGAAAAAATTCTGAGTCGGACAGCATCCTCAAATTGACCTTCGTCATCAGAAAATGCATCATGAAAAGTTTCAATCTAGAGTGCAAAAATGTTACAGGGGTGCGCCTATTCTGACACAGAATTCTTATAATAATCTTTAGAATTTTAGAATTAAAAAAGAAATAAAGCATCACGATGTGGTAAAGAATTTTTATATATAAAGAGCATTTTTTTTAACAAAAAGCATTTTTTTAACAAAAAGCATTTTTTTTAACAAAAAGCATTTTTATTGATCAAAAAGCAATTTATTGTAGAAAATAAATATTTTTAATGAACAAAAATATTAAATAATCAGTTTTGTATACTGTTTTTAATTTTTAAAAACGAAAAATTTTCAAATTTTCAATTCTTTAAACTTTTAATCATTTGAACTTTTATTAATTGCAATTAATTTCTTGTTTAGACCATTTTGTCGTTTTTCCTACTTTCATAGATTATTTTCATGTCCAACAATTTTTTTTAATGTTTTATGTTATTTAACAAAAAATACAAAATTCAAATTTTTTATTATTCAAAGAAAACGAAAAAACGACAAACTTAAAAAAACAAATTTATTTTTTTAAAAAACTGAAAAAAAAAATTTGTTTTTATTTCTTAAAAACAAAAAAATTTCAAATTTTCGAAATTTTTAAAATTTAATTCAAATTTTATTGATTGTAATTAATGTCTTTTATAAAACATTTTGTCCTTTTTCCTACTTTCATAGAATATTTTTATGCGCAACAATATTTTTAATGTTTTATTTTAATAATAATAATAATAACTTTATTGTGAAAAACAGTACAATACATGTATCACAAAAGGCATGAGTTCAGCTTCACTGATCTTCCACTCACCCAGCAAACAAATATAATTTTAAATTGTAAATAAACAATAAGTATATAAAAACTAACAAATATCAACAACATATTAAAATTACAAGATTACAAAATTTCTTTGGCTTGGATCTCTAATAAAATTTTTAAGATATTAATTTTAAAAGTCCCAAGGGATATATCACTACTCCACAAAATAAAATTTTTATTCACAATGCTGGCAGCCAAATATTCGAAGGAACTCTCAAATTTTTTTGTTTTATGGTATGTAATTGACAACAAACAATTACTTCTAACATTTACATCATGACTATTATATCTATATTCCAAGAGTGAAAATAAATATAAGGGTAATTTAGTTTTAATAATATTGAACAACATAGTCGCAAATTGCTTGTAAAAGACATATACACATTTCAAAATATTTAACCTAATATAGTGTGGACCTACATGGTCTCTGAAGCTAACATTATAAGAATATCTTAAGCAGCAGTTTTGTACTTTTTGAAGTAAATTTTGAATTTTTTTATTTGCATAGTTAAAGTAGACAGCACTAATTTAATGTAATTTAACAAAAATACAAAATTCATTTTCATTATTCAAAGAAAAAGAAAAATTCTTCGTTGATTTTTCAGGCCGATCCGTACGATAAGCGGCAGTACAGCAGCGAGCTCGACCGGCTCTAAAAAGGAGCGCAAAGGCACAGCGGCGGCTCGTTTCACGATCTACAAGGTGAACAAGGCGAGCAGAAAGAAGCGAGAAAAATCGTCGGCGAAGAAGGAGAGGAAAGCGACCAAAACTTTGGCCATTGTTCTCGGTAAGTGCGCGGCGAGGGCTGAAATTCGCTAATGACACCTAATGACGGCAATGCCATAGTCAAACGCACAATGCTCTCAACGTATTATTACTTTTTGATAAAAAATTAAATTAGTAAATAGGTAAAAGCTGCTTTATGATTTTATTAAGGATATTGCGCTTAGTTTGAATGCTCAAGTTTTAAAAAAATTCGCCAAAGATTACAATTTTAGTAGGTCACAAAAATTTTAATAAAACTTTTATTGATTGTATTTAACATTTTATCGTTTTTCCTACTTTCATAGATTATTTTCATGCGTAACAATTTTTGTTATGTTTTATTTTTAATGTAATTTAACAAAAAATACAGGATTCAAAGTTTTTCTCTTTTCAAAGAAAATGGAAAAACGACAAACTTTTGAAAAACTGAAAAATTTTAAGTAATATGACATTTTTTGTTTTGCTTTTAATTATTAAAAACGAAAAAATTTAAAATTTTCGAAATTATAGATTAATTTCATGCGCAACAATATTTTTATTGGTAATCTAATTTAACAGAAATTCAAAATTTAAACTTTTTCTTTTTTGAAAGAAAAAGAATAAACTTAAAAAAAACGTTTTTTTAACTAAAAATTTTCATTTAATAATAATATATTTATTTATTTAGCCTCTGCTATTTAAAACAAGTATACATTTACATTATTTTAACTTTTTGATATGACGATTTTTTTTGTTTTTAATTCTTAAAAACTGAAAATGTTCAAATTTTCGAAAATTTTTAATTTTAATCAAACTTTTATTGATTATAACATTTTGTCGTTTTTTCTAAATTATTTTCAAAACTGAAAAATTTTAAGTAATATGACATTTTTTGTTTTGTTTTTAATTATTAAAAACGAAAAAATTTCAAATTTTCTAATTTTTTTAATTTTAATCAAACTTTTATTGATTGGATCATTTTGTCGTTTTTTCCTACTTTTATAGATTAATTTCATGCGCAACAATATTTTTAATGTTTTATTGTTAATCTAATTTAACAAACATTTAAAATTTATAGTTTTTCTTTTTTGAAAAAAAAAGAAAAAGAAAAAACGACAAACTTTAAAAAACCAATGTTTTTTTGAAAAACTGAACATTTTTATGTAATATGACAATTTTTTTGTTTTTAATTTTTAAAAGCGAAAAATTTTCAATTTTTTATAATTTTAATCAAACTTTTATTGATTGTAATTTTTATCTTGTTTAGACCATTTTGTCGTTTTTCCTACTTTCATAGATTATTTTCATTTCAACAATTGTTTTAATGTTTTATTTTTAATGTAATTTAACAAAAAATACATAATTCAAAGTTTTTCTTTTTTTCAAAGAAAAATAAAAAACGCCGAACTTTAAAAAAACAAGGTGTTTTTTTGGAAGAACTAAAAAATTTCATGTAATATGACAATTTTTTTGTTTTTAATTTTTAAAAACAAAAAATATAAAAATTTTCGAAATTTTTAACTTTTAATAATAATATAATAATATATTTTTTATTTTATTTATACTTTGCCTAGATATAATAGGGTGTACACGTCATTAAAGTAATGGGTAAAGTTCACAAATACTTAGATAAATACACATATACACTGCGCGTCAAAAATAACGCATAATAAGTAAAAAAAATCTATTTTTAAAGCCCTTTTATTTAATAATAAAAAAACGTTCTAAAAATAACTTTTAGGGAATTTTTTTTAAGTAAATAATAAATTATATATACCTATTTCGAAAAAAAAAAGAAAAAACGAACTTTAAAAAACCTATGTTGTTTTGAAAAAACTGAAAAATTTCAGGTAATATGACAATTTTTTTGTTTTTAATTTTTAAAAACGACATATTTTCAATTTTTTATAATTTTAATACAAATTTTATTGATTGTAATTAATATCTTGTTTAGACCATTTTGTCGTTTTTCCTACTTTCATAGATTATTTTCATGCGTAACAATGTTTTAAATGTTTTATTTTTAATGTAATTTAACAAAAAATACATAATTCAAAGTTTTTCTTTCTTCAAAGAAAAACAAAAAACAATGAACTTAAAAAAAACAATGTTTTTTTGGAAGAACTAAAAAATTTCATGTAATATGACAATTTGTTTTCTTTTTTATTATTAAAAATTTTCGAAATTTTTAAAATTTTATTGATTGTAATTAATATCTAATAGAATATTTTCATGCGCAACAATATTTTTAATGTAATTTAACAAAAAATACAGAATACAGAAGTTTTTCATTATTCAAAGAAAAAGAAAAAACGCGAAACTTTAAAACACAAACGTTTTTTGGAAAAACTAAAAAAAATCATATATTTGACTTTAAATATTTTTTTGTTTTTAATTTTAAAAAGGAAAAATTTCAATTTTAAAAAAGTTATGAGCTAAAGCACAATATTTTTTATTTTTGTGGTGTTAAAACTTAAAAAAAATATTAAATCCATTGTTTCGCTAATAAAATTTCTGTCCGCTTAAATTTCAGATATGTTGGACTGTGCGTGCGGTTAAGGAGTTAAGGTTTCTTAATTGAAATACTAATTGTATTAAGCGTTGTCTTTTAAATTTTTGATTTACATTGCGGAAACCGAATATTCTTTTTATTTGCACATTTAAATTCCATTTAATGGTTTATCGATTGATCTCTCAATTGTTTGAAATATAAAATAATTAATTTAATTTTGTTTTGTTTTATAGTTTACATTATTTAAATAAATTTAATTTTTGCTTTATAGGTCCAAACCTTTTGGACAATCTCATCTATTTACATGTGTTGGTAATCTCTCAAGTTTAAATAGAACATAGATTATAGTAGGTACTAAAAGACGTACAAAAATAATAAAACAGCATTTCTTTCTACTTCGATTCTTATTTGTTTCTGTAAAATATTCCCCGATGGCGCAAATAAAATTGGCAAGACCCGAATGAAAAGATACGACGTACGCTTGGAACCTGAAACACGACATATTAAAAATACACCTGAACGGGCTTCTAGAGTGGTGAGGGGTAATAGTGCGCAAAGTTTTCCAGTCGGCCAATAATTAAGCCTTTGTTTTCAAGATATTGTAAATACATATTTGCATATCGACAAAAACATTTTGTGGACCTGCAAAAATAAAAATACGGTATGAAACAGTAAACTGTTAGTTGCCATCTTGCCCTGCTCTACTCTACGCAATTGTGTCGACTTTGGCCGTCAAAGAAGAAGAAACTCTGCATAGAGCCATAAATCTTGACGAGGTGAAAAGTTTGGCCGTCTGCGGTGCATTGCGGGTTATTTGTCAATATTTTATTCATATGTCACAAATTCGCGTTTTAAACTTTTTAAATCGCAAGTGATTTAACTTAGCATGGCTTTATTTTTTATTCTATGGTTTTATCGGATCTATTGTTATCCCTACTTCCAAAGGAAATTAAACTTTTCTCTTATATATTTGTTGATAGTGATTTATGCTTTATTTGTTGAAAGTTTAAAGTCACAATTTATATGCAGGAGAACACATTTAATGAAATTCGTACAGTAAAATTTAATTCTAAAAATTATTGCAGGTATTAATTTACAGAATTGAATTCTATCTGGTATAAATTTATTTTAATAGTATATTATGTATCGTTTGATAAACGACATTTTCGTCACGAATTTAATTTAATTAAATGAGGGCATAGAAAAATTTATAATCGAGTTGCATACTATATAATTTTGTTTATTTAGGGGTGTTATTTAACACCCAAAAATGGGCATTTGGATTTTTTAAAATAATTCCTTAAAAACGAAAAAAGAAAAAAAATGTCACCTGGATCACAAATTTACTAACATATTAAAAAAACTTGCTTAATCATTTTGAAAATATATTTTTTTGCTAGTTAATAATCCTTTTAAGGTTTTATTTAAAATAGGATTTGTTTAAAAAAAACAAATTTATTATTTATAAAAAATGTTGAGTACAAAACTAAGTAAAAGCAAAATGTTCCATTTCTCAACTTTCTTACATACTTAAGTATTTTTAAAATATTTTCTGTATTTAAAAAATGTCCATTAAAAAAGTGAGTTTACGAAATTTTCTTTTAAAGCTTATTAAAAACGTTTTTTCTAAATTTGTTAACTGGGCCCATCTTGTCCAATTTAACGAGTAATAAATTAATAAACAGTTTTAGTCATTAGTAATATTAATAAAATAATATTTCAGTAAATATTATATAATATATAGTGAAATGATTTTTTCAAACCTTCAGACACGTTGATTTTGTTTGCAAGACGGACAATTATTGATTAAATTACATAAAGATACCTTATATTTAATCCAAAAGTAAATATTGTATCGCCAAGAATTATAACATTTGTATCAAAAAATGCTTATTCTTAAATTAAGCATAGTGTATATTTTATGTGAGGGTGCTTGCATGAGGCGCCGTTTGTCCGTAAATAATTTTTTCTATATATAAGAATATTTTTTCCTTTATTTATATAAACTGTTTAGTTCAGATAATGCCGCTTGAGAATGAGGGCGCTTTGTGGTAATCAACTAAACAGCACTGTTGCCAGAGTGTGCCAATGCAAAGTTTAGGTCAGTGTTTCCAACATAACGGATCTTCGGCCAGATCTAGCGGAACAAAATGATACCAAAAAGTATATGATTTTAGTTTAAATACTTATAGGTAATATATTGGTCGGCAGAGCTGCAACAAGTCAGTTTTAAATCTTAAATCTTAAGTCAATTCTAAAATCAAAATGATTTAAATCTTAAGTCAATTCTAAGATAAAGTTCAAATGATTTAAGTATTAAGTCTTTGAATTAAATCATTTTCTTTCAAGTCAAGTCATTTTCCCAAATTCTTAAATCAATATAAAGTGATTTAAGTCATCTTATGACTTAATTCCTTTAGTAAGTCGTTTTTATGACTTAAGTCTATATTTTTTATTTAAATCGTGATCTAAGAGTTAACGGCCATTCCACGCGTAACGGATGGGACAGTTGCAAGTTTTTATTTACAAAATAACATTGTTCTATTATATTACTAATGTCAAATTTTTATAAATAGTTCTAAACAAAATCGTGGTTGACTGTTTAATTCCTTAAAAATTAATTTTTTTATTCAAAAACCCTACTAGTACTGTTTTTGAATAAAAAAATTAATTTTTAAGGAATTAAACAAAAAACCACGATACCTAATATTGCCAAATAAAAACCTATATATACATAAGTCACAAATCATTTTGAAAATAACTTAAATTTTAAGTCTTGAGTCAGTTTTAGAGAAATGACTTATTACCAAATGACTTAAATCAAAAAAACGATTTAAGTTTTCTGAGAGCTTGCAGCTCTGTTGGTCGGTTGGTCTATTTTTATAGAAGAGAACATTTCTCTTCTTTGACCGTCTCCATTTCTCTAAATAAACACGGCTTCGTTTTTACTAAAATGTATTTAAAAAAACTAAAATTTCTTACGTTTTGCTTCTCTTGTCAATTTATAATAAAACAAAGAATTTTTTTTTAAACTTGGACTCTTACAAATTAAATTATATAGGTACAAATCTTATGACAAATACCATTTGATATTATGTTCAAGTTTCTGTTAAAAAATCCGTCAGCCGTAAGAGTATCTTTTTTCCCTCGACCTTTATTAAAATCTGCCAGATCTGGCGAAACGTTATGTTGGAAATACTGACCAAAACTTTGCATTGGCACACTCTGGCAACAGTGTTGTTTAGTTGATTACCACAAAGCGCCCTCATTCTCAAGCGGCATTATCTGAACTAAAAAGTTTCTATATATATAGGAAATTTAAAGTTTATATATAAAAAATATTCTTATATATAGCAAAAATAATTTACGGACAAACGGCGCCTCATATGCTTGCATTTAAAATAATATGATAGTTTTTCTTGAAATAAGAATAAGTTTACCCTTGCACCTAACATTGAAATTATATCCAAATAATTATAGGTTAGTACATGCATTCAACTATTCAAATAAGTACATATACGATAATGGGCATTTTAAATATGTATAAAAAATAATTGTACATGTTGTTAACTTAAGAACGCCGCTAAAACTAATTTAAAATTGTCGCCGTTAGATAACCAAATAACCAAACTATTTTACGGAACGTTTAAAGTAGACAAAGCCCACACAGCGGGCTCGCGGAAAATTTAATACTAAACCGCTCTATGCAAATTCTCTGGATTGTTGCAGGTGTGTTTCTCATATGCTGGGTTCCCTTTTTTACCTGCAACATACTGGACGCGATGTGCAGCAAACTCAACTTGCAATGCCAGCCCGGCGTGACGGCATTCCTTATCACCACGTGGCTGGGGTACATGAACAGTTTCGTTAACCCCATCATATACACCATCTTTAACCCGGAGTTCAGGAAAGCCTTCAAGAAAATTATGTCAGTTGGTCCGTAAGTCATTTCCCTTTTTATTTTTAACATTTTGTGTTTTTCATAAAAATGTCTTGTGTAAGGTATTTTAAATTAAATTCATCATAAAATATTGGAAAATTAAATGTTCATTCAAATAAAAAATAATTTTATTAAAGCGTAAATTTATTTAGGCAATTAAATGCATTGTTTTTAAAACATTTTTTCAAAAGTATTTTAATTATTTAATATAAATGTGGCTGTGATTTTTTAAACAAATAATTTTTATTCCTTTAGTTAATTTAGCAAAACTATTTTTCCTCCCATTTTTATCCATACACGGTGTGCCTGAACGAAGTTTAAGTCACATAAAAATGCCGCCAAAAACTGATTGCAGTTTCTTGTTCGGGACCCTTTGGTGACTTAAAAATGATATTTACCAAAATCCTAGCTGCTCCTATTTTCGAAAGTCTACCTTTGACAGAGTACACATTTGTACACCGATTTTTATAAAATTAGAGTATATTATTGAAGAGACTTAATACTTTTCACATCATTTGATATATACAGGGTGAGCCAAAAATCGCTTATTTTTAATAAAGCAAAAGCGTAAATTCATGACTTTGGCATAACACGCAAAAAAGATTTATCCCAATTTTTGTTTTAGATATTTCCACGTTTATCAGGTTACAAAATGGCATTCTTATTAACCTTTTATAAAAAAATAGATTTTTAATAAAATTAAATAAAATAACGCTTAGAGAATATTTAAAATGTTGTTTAATTTAGGCTTTTTAGTAGTTTTCAATTTTGAACAAAAAATTGATTAAAGTTTTTTGATCGGCACTCTTTGGAGATTTAAAAACGATATTTACCAAAATTCTAACTGCTTTTTTTTAAATTTGTTAAAAAATATTTTTTTTTAATTATTTGTTTATCGCCAAGTCTACCTTTGCCAGAGTACACATTTGTACACCGATTTTTATTGATTGCAGTTTCTTGTTCGGGACCCTTTGGTAACTTTAAAATGATATTTACCAAAATCCTAGCTGCTCCTCTTTTAAAAATTTTTTGAAAATTTTTAATTTTTGTTTATCTTACCTTTGACAGAGTACACATTTGTACACCGATTTTTATAATATGGGAGTATATTGTTAACGAGACTTGTAGAATACTGTTTTCATACTGAGCACATCATTAGATTTATACAGGGTTAGCCAAAAATCACTTTTTTATATAGTAAAAATCATAATGCACAATAGTATATTACACTACAAGGGCAGAAAGTGTGAGATTCCTGCACTGCGCGCCATGATGCCCGAGGCGAAGCCGAGGGCATCATGGCGCGCAGTTCAGGACTCTTACACTTTCTGCCCGTGTAGTGTATACTATTTTTCTTACTACCCTGCAGAAAATACGGGAAAAAATTAAATGTATATAAAAAAATGTGTGTCAAAATTAAAATCTGACGTTTAATTTAATTCTGACGTTTACATTCAAAATCAATCAAACTGTAGCGTTGTCATGGTAATTCAGCGGTGCCAATACAGTAAAAATAAAAGGTTGTATTTTAATTAACAAATTACTACTTTATAACAAATAAAAGTACCATTAAACACTTAAAACAACATAAAAAGTAAAAAAGTAAAAACATAAATTGTTTATTTGTTGTTATAATTGCAAAATTATGGTTTAAAACTGTCATATTTTTGTGTTTCTCATGTTGGCAGTACGAAATTTAAATGTTAAGCACGCGTCTAAAAAATTTTTACTCCCGCTATTAGAGTGTGCGCGTATAGCTTGACCAATGCAAGAAACGTAAACTTTCTGCCGTGAAATCGGGGACGAAACAACGTATTTTGAGTCGAGGTAGTAAGAAAAAAAGATTTATCTCCAAAAATGTTATTTTATTTAATTTTATTCAAAATCAATTTTTCTTATAAAGTCTTAATTAGAATCCCATTTTGTAGCCTGATAACATAAAAATATCTAAAAAAACATGGGTGGGATATATCTTTTTTGCGTGATATGCCAAAATCATGAAGTTACGCTTTTGATTTATTAAAAGAAGCAATTTTTGGCTAATCCTGTATATATTAAATGATGTGCACAGTATAAAAAATTCCAAATTTTCTTAACAATATACTCCAATATTATAAAAATCAGTGTACAAATGTGTACTCTGTCAAAGGTAGACTTTAAGATAAACAAAAATTAAAAAAAAATCATGAATTTTCAAAAAAATTCGAAAAGAGGATTTTGGTAAATATCATTTTTAGTCACCAAAGGGTCCCGGACAAGAAACTGCAATCAGTTTTTGGCGGCATTTTTGTGTGACTTAAACTTTGTTCAGGCACACCGTGCATATATACTTTAAGTAAGTAAGTTGTATCTTTAAATTAATAATTCCATCTTAATGCTCAAATAGACATGTTATTCCATTTAAATATGCTCAACTTTTATTATAATTTTTACGTTAAACATTCATCAGCAAATTTTAAATTTAAAATAAAAAAGTTATTCCGAATTTATAGAAAACATATCACCAAAAAAAATCCATAAATTTTAGGAATAAATTGCAAAAATCGAGCTTGTACTATTGATAATAATTAGTGTTTTTTAAATTAAATTAAATTTACCAACAATATGGTCTACATAGTTGATGTTACGCTGATTTGGACCTTACGTTTTAATTTGTCATGATATTGTATATTAATGTAAATATTGTAAAATAGTCAACTGTAAATATGTATTTAGTTTACTTATAAGGCCTAAATGGTAATGGCCGCATATTACCAACGTAAGAACCAAATCAAATCTAATGTTGTTTTATACAGGGTGTTCCAGGTTTTAATAGGAAAGTTATTTTAAATAGAAGAACACAAAAGTACTTTTTGAGATAGAGGGTGTTAAAATTTTTATATTTTTTTAAGATTTATTCTAAAATATTTTAATTTGTACGAGGTGTGTTCAGAAAATATCGGGAATTTTCGTTTTTTGAAACAAATATCTATTTATTCGTCTACATTGATGTTGTCGCCTTCAAAATAGTCCCCATTGGATATTATGCACATGTGCCAGCTCTTCTTCAAATACTCGAAACACTTCTAAAACTCGATCTTTGAGATAGCCTTTAGTTCTTTCAGCGATGCGCTTTTAATGTCATCTATGCTTGCAAAACGACGGCCCTTTAAGGTTCTTTTTATTTTTTGGAATAGGAAAAGTCAGACAGAGGCATGTCTGGCGAATATGGAGGCTGGGGCATCATTACAGTAGTGTTTTTGGCCAAAAATGTTGTTCAAAATTTTAGAACAAATTTTGCTGCCACGCGTTTCATACCCAAAACATTCGAAAAAATTTCATGGGATGAGCCAATCGATATACCAACATCATGAACGACTTCTCTGATGGTTTATAACCATTTCTGCCACTTTTTCCATGTTTTTATCGGTTGTTAATGTGCTTGTGCGTTCGGGGCGTTCGTCATCTTCAACGTCTTCAGGGCCATCTTGGAAACTATTATACCACTTGTAAACTCTTGTTTTACTTATAGCAGACTCACTATAGGCCTTTGTTAACATTTCGCAGAATTTATTTCATTTTTTAAGCAAAATTGGATACAAATTATTTGATCCATTTCTTTTAACGAACGAAAAACCGCCGAGCTCATAAAACACGTCTAACCTTAGCGGCTGCCACAGACAAAGTAAACAATGAAAACGGTTAAAGTTTTTATCATAATTCGGGGGCATGTATACCAACATAATAAAGAAAATTTTATGACAACCGAACCCTCTGAACCCGCGAAATTTAACAATTCCCGTTATTTTCTGAACACACCTGCTATATACTCAAAAATACTCAAATTCCAAGAGAATTTTTTTCTTAAAATAATGTCCCAAATTCGCTCCATGAAATCATATGCTAAAACCTGGGACACCCTGTATATTGCGTTTAATTCCAAAAATATGATTCTGTGATCAATGTATTATCTAGTTATTTCTTAATAATTTATTCTAAATAAATAATAAAATATCTGTTAATTGGATACAAATTTTGTGAATAGGACAATCAATTTATTATTATTATTTTTTCGTATTGGATTTTTAATAACCTTATGGTTTATTTTAAAAATTGTCCACATTGTCACACTAATATAAAAAACTACATATCTTCTAAACATACCAAATAGGTCACAAAATTTTATCCAGTTTCCGCCATTGCATGTTACCACCTAAATACTATAATGATTGTTATTGTTTGCTGTACATTTTACAATAAACAACTTTACTAGATAATAAAAAGGTTTAATAATAATTGTACAAAATGTATATAACCAAAAAAAATATGTATACTTAATAAACGGCAGTATTATCTATTCTATTTCATGTTAAAATTTAAAAAATAAAACAAAAAAGCCATGTTTTTAAAAATGTGTGTGACCTATTTACCTATTTGTGAATTTGTTATACTGAGCCCCGTTTTTGAAAAAGTTGGCTTTTTTTGGCAACCATCCCTTGTAAATCAAAAACCTACGCTTACTAACTTTAAAAAAATGTATTATAGATTATTTAGAGTGCAATGCATATATGTAAAATAAATAAGCTATTTATTAATCGTGTTTTATTTTTTCCCACAAATAAACCTTTAAAAGTGTTAAAAAGTTTACATCGTTTATAACATTTTTAGCTCATTATCAAACTTTAACTTTAATCGTAATTCGACTGGAAATGGAATTTTATTTTACAGAATATATAACTGGAAACAGTATCTAATACATTTTCTACAAAAAACTAAATATTAAACATACTGCATATTACGTACATTTGCATTTTATAATTGAAGTAATTAAACATTTCGTCCCGATTGTAAAAATCGAATAAAAACACGTTTTAAAATATCCCCTAAAATTTATGGAATGACCGTTCCAGCTAGGTGAGTTAAATCGATGGCGTTCAATTAAAAAAACAAATCAAAATCGCATAAATTCTGCAGTAATTTATTTAAAAGTATTTCAGGCATTTTATTTTTCCACATAAACATTGATAAAAAATAAATGACGTATTTATCCGAAAAAACTTTTTCGTTCTTATTTAATTATAAATATTCATGAATCCCACGTTCCGAACATTTGAATATTTTACAAGCTTTTGCCGGTACTTGAACTTAGGGATTTAGCTAAGATCGAGTGAAAATTAAAAAAATATGAAAAGATTCTTTAAAAATATTAATAAGTGGATAACGAAACAATTCGTAGAAAAGGAAAATATGTTTTGGTTTTATAATACTTTTATAAAAATATAAATACTTATTATGAACTAAAAATTATTTAAATTTAATATTTGTAAAGAGCGACATCTTTACAAAAATAGAGTAACCCTAAGAATGGGAATCTGTATTACCGGCGGAAAATGTCAAACTTTTCTGTGTAAATTGAAATTTATCCCTTAGAAAAAGACTAAAAACCGTTTAAATCCGATATAGAAGCAGTTTTTTATAGTGAAAGTGAAGAAAATATTTTATGGGCACTTTACGGTGGGGTCTCCTCCAGAAATTTATTGGTTTGTTGCAAATATATAGTAAATTTAAAAGGAAACGACGTACACGTCATCAAAATCTAAAATCATTGCATCTAGTGAAAGTGGTAGTGCAACTACAGGGCGATAGATGGCGTTTATATGAATAATACCATAGGGTCCCTAGATTTGGGACCTTAGAATACCAAAATGTCAAAACCTTTATGATGCACCGCCAAAAGTATGTTTTTAACCATTTTTAAAGACATTTTCAGCTATAAAACCCAGAAATTTTGTCATCAAGTCAGTCTCTGGTATATATATTATTATTTTATGTATCCAACATATATTTTGTTAAATATTCTAATATATAATTAATAATAATCCTATTTACCTCTCTAACAGCTGTTGAAGGTAACAAAGATCCATTATTATCCCGTTCTGCCTTAAAATAGCGTATTAAGAATGATACCAACTCTTGACTCCCACTATTTAAATGCTTCGGCATTTTAAATATAGGAAAAACAAAAAAACGATATAAAATAACACAAACAACAAACAAAATAAACGAAATTATACACGAATTAAGCCTGTACGATTTGTGCGTCTTGTAAAAAGTCAATTTATAGATTTCCGTGTAAAATTCCGTAACCATGCGCGATGACACCTAAAATAGTTGACATTTGTTTTTGTTTATTCTGCGTTTTACCCATTGTGTGTATATATGAAAGATAAACATTTATATATTAGTGCAGTGATCACAATTTTGCCCAGGCAGCTTGTATTATAATAATGAAAAAAACATCGAACAAGACGTTGGAAGACTCGCCAACTTTACCAAGACTGGGAAAATACGGGGTTTTACAAAACAACGTTTCTAAAAATGAATGACGTTGATCATAAACAATATCCAAATATCCTATTTAGGCACAAATTATTTGATAAACTGAACACCTATCTTAAATCATACTAAACAATCATGTATTTTAAATATTTTGTGCCTACGCGCTGTCACCCTACAGCGCATGTCTATAACAAGCACTGTGATTGGTCATGTCAAAGACCTTTACGGTGAAAGATATATCTTATAAAACTTAAAAATTTCTACGGGAGGAAGGAATGCCGTCCTTACGGTACGGGAATCTATAAATGGCACTACGATTAAATAAACATTCTTGACGTAATTGTCACCATTAACATTGCCCGTTATTAATTTTAATTAAAATTAACAATTATTGGTACTTTAAAATAGTAAAATAACTTCAAAATATGATTTTGGTAAAAAATATTTTATCCTTTAATTGTTTTATTACTATAATTGCAAAATATTATCACAAAGTATTAAAAATTCTTACACGGGAAATGTTAATGGTGACAATTACGTCAAAAATGTTTATTGGGTTTCGTATTGTCCATCTTCTACGGGAGGAAGGAAGAAAGGCAATCTATAATTCAGGCTTTAAACGAAATATTCAAAAACTTTCGAAATTCTAAAACGTCAATTTCTTTTTTTATGCGTCATTTTATTAAGCAAAATTTTAATCTAAACATGACAACATTGCAATTGCTGCCAACTTAATTTGGTTAAAATATTCAATTACAGACTTCGTTTTATACATTTAGTATTGGTACCAGGGCGAAAAATTATGACGTCATCGATGACGTGTACGTCGTTTCATTTTAAATTTACTACCTATAAACTTTTTAAATATTGGCGTTGAGAAACTGTTTATTACTTTTGTATTTGTGTTTTAATAAAATACAATTATTTTAACGATTGTAGTACATTTGACAACTGTCAACTAACTTAGAGCTAACTTCAGTCCATAAAGACAAAGCTTGTCAATGTGTATTTAAAAGATTACTTAGTGTCATGGAAACCTGTACGTTTTAAAGGTGGAAGTGGAAAAAAATAAAAAGGCTATTATATAAAAAATATTTAATAAAAATACAAAAGTGGTAACAGAAACGGAAAAATATGTACAAAAGAAAACAGAAGTACGCTTCAATTTACTTATTGAGCGTAAGTAATACCAGCTTGGGCATATTTAGAGGGATCTGCTTGCTGAGATTGGTAGTACTGACCGGAAGTATAGATTGGTTGGGCTGCAGATGGAGCGGCTGTTTGGTACTGTTGCGGAGCCGATTGGTACTGTGGAGCAGCTTGGTATTGTTGAGCCAGTTGGTATTGTTGGTATTGAGGTTGGGCTGATTGGTACTCCACAGGTTGAGCGGTTTGGTACTCTGGTTGAGCGGTTCGGTAGACCACTTGTTGAGGGGAAGCGTTTCTGTAAGCAGCTGGTGCAGCTGAGTAAGCGACTTGTTGAGGAGCTGCAGCGGTTCTGTAAGCTACTGGTGAAGCTTGGTAAGCGGCTGGAGCGGTTCTGTAAGCTGGAGCAGCTTGGTATTGCGGTTGTTGGGCGTATACGACTTTTTGGACTTGTTGTGGTTGATAGGCTACTGGAGCTGGCTGAGCGTACGTGATTTTTTGTGGTTCTGGAGCCGCTTGGTATTGCACTTGAGCTGGAGCTGGGGCAGATTTACCGGCGATATTTCCAGCCAGTTGGTTAAGAAAACCTAGGCTGTTGTATTGTACCACTGGGCTTGAGTAACTGAATGATGAAACATCACCAGCCAGGGAGTAGTGTGGCGCTTGTTGTGGAGCTACAGCATACTAAAAAAACATTTGGCTTAAGTAAAAATATGTTGAATTCGGTAAAGTAAAAGGCTATGGTATACCCTTTCTTGAAAAAAACTGATATTGTTTCTTTAAGTAGTTTGTGCAACTTTCACTTAAATACAGTTTGAATTACATTAAACTGGATGCGACATACTACCCACAAGGTGAATGTTAATTTTGTGCTCTGATTTATTATATCGCCTTCAGCGAAATTTCCTTTTTAAATACTTAGATGATACATAACTTTTAATTGATCTTAATCGGTTAATTGCATAACTCAATACTTTCTATGTAATAGTATTTACGGTTCTGCAATTGTATGAAAATTAGTTATTAAGTATGACTTTACAATTCATAACGATTCCTCCTGAGACGGTTTAAATTATAAATTCTCAATTGTTGCAAGCGGTTTTGAACCGAACATGTTCAAACATAGACTAAACCGAATTAGGCTTGCAAACTTTCATAGAAATTAATATTTAATGCATAACATTAGCATCAAACTGAGAAATTAATTAAAACAATGTTTTATGAAAGTTCGACATTTTAGGTTTGAATAAAAAAAACTACGAAGATAACTCTTGTTCAGTATATACAGGGTGTTTGCCATTCGAGGTCCATAAGTTTCTGGGGAACGGAAAAAGATATCGATTTGAAATTTTAATAGTATATTATGTATCAAGTTTGATAAACGCCATTTTATACACGAATTTAATTTAGGCACGAGCGAGCTTGCGAGCGAGTTCTTAAATTAATGAGTGTATAGAAAAGTTTATAAACGAGGTGCATACTATACTTTTTCTACGACAAATACTTATTATTATCTTAAAATTATTTAAATCAAAAATTTGTATAGAGCGCCATCTATGAAACAACACACAACACAATTATAAAGGTTATAAATCGAAATGTATATTGAACAGTGAAAGTAAAGGAAATGTTTTATGAGGACTTTACAGTAGAGTCCGTGCCCGAATTTAAGTTATAGTTTACTGCCGGCGAACTTAAAAGGTCAGTACAATGTTCATATAAACTTTTCAAATATTGGCGTTGAGAAACTATTTAATATTTTTGTATTTTTGTATTGGGATAATTAAATAATTTTCACATTTATTATTATTTTACAAGAAAGGCACTTTATTTTAACGATTGTATGACATTTGACAACTGTCAACTAACTTAAAACTAACTTCAGCCCGTGACTAAAAACCTGTTGCTAACTATTTTTACATTTTTAAATTCTACATAAAATTCCTATACCCTGTCCTATACCGAACGTAATTAGTTTTTGAGTTATTGATTTTTTTTGTTAAAATTTGAGAAATGCTCGTCATTCAAAAATAGCCTATAACTTTTTTGTTATTATGTTTGGGAATATGGGGGTGGAATTTTTGGAATCTTAAAACATTGTTTAAAAGATTCTTCGTCAATTCAACAAATTACTTGAGAAAACCCAGGGCAATTTAGGATAACTTAAAAAATTAATAACTTTTTATTTTTTTAATTTCCAATCCTGGAGGATGTCAACTAGAAAATTTATTTTATGAAATATTTTAATGACAAAAAGAATGCGTAGGTAACTGTAACAATTTCAACAATATTATTTTATTTGCGACTTGAAAACATCCTTAAATTTTATTTAATTGTATTTATTAAATATTACTCTTGTTTTTAGTACACAGCAAACGGAAAATTATAGAGGTGTATAGGATGACGCCACGTTTGAATATCGATTTCTAAATCTCCCTACGGTATAGAGTTGTATTCGTCAGTCGAGCGTTTCAATACTCTCCACAGTATAGAGGTCGTAATTTCACTTTTGAACTAGTATTAATATAAAAATTATTTTATGCTTAAAAAAAACTATATACGACATGATTGTGATTTTTTTCATTTTATTAATTAATTAAGCTGTGTTGAATATTTTTCCTAAAGGAATAATTGCCAATGGGCCATTAATTCATTTGTTCGTAGATGCTACAATAACCTGCACTGGTGTGTACTTTTTCATCAACCAGATTTAAATATTACAAAATTAACATATACCAGTGGAGATAGTGCAGGGTCTACCAACAGACCTAATTACTAAATTATTAAAGTTTAATAGCATATCGATCATTTTTCAACATAACCTCTTAAATTTTTAATACAAATATAGGTACTTTATATAATACATAAATATACTTAACATCATATCCTCTGTGCTTTACATACCTGAGTTGTTACGGTAAATAAAAATCAGACAAAGGAACCAAAGAAAGGAACTATTTTCAACAAAATCATATGGAGAAATGAGAAAATTCATCCATCAAAAGATCAATATTACACCCTCTTTTTATACTCTCAGAAATATTGACTAGAACAGTATTAGAGAGACTCTAGTTTCTATAACTTGGTAGAGTAAAGAGAAGTCGAAACCGTTGCGATATTGCATTGCGCTGTTTTTGTATAATTCTCGGGGACATAAACGAAAATCATTGCCAGTAAAATTCGAAAAGCTTGAGTTTCTATGTCTCTGAGGAGAATAGGAATCCGAAGTTGCTGCACCATTGGACTGAACCCTTTTTTAATAATTTCTAGAGACATATATGACTGCACCATTCGACAGGGTCGAGTTTCTACTCCTCTGTTGAATATAGAAAATCAAAATAATGTATCTTGTAAGACACCATTGAGTTTGACTTTAAATATAGTCGTGCATAGGTATAGAGCCGAAAAATATAAAAACAAAGCACGATTCAATACAGTTATGATAAAACTTTAAGATTTGATATTCAAACGCGGAGTCATCCTATACACTTCTATAATTTTTCGTTTGCTGTGTACTTTAGCTTGAATAATTATTGAAGTCTACACAAGCATAAAAATAAATTGGGACAACAAATATAATTAATAAATACGAACAACTGTAGGCAATTTGGGTGCTCCAAGAGAAACCTTTAATAATTTAAAATAAAATTAATTAATTAACGTTTTTTATTGATTGATGTATAATTTTATATAAATTAAAATAATTTTTTCCAAATCTAAACTGTTTATATTTTACTTACTTTTTGTACACCAGCTTGCACAGGCGCCCTCTGTTGTTCACTTTCGTACTGGTATTGTGGGGCTGAAGCATATTGTTGTTGGGCAGGTTGGGCTGTGTATTTTAATAGTTGGGCTTGTTCTGATTGGACAGCCCCGCGTTTCTCCTGTTTCTCCTCCTTGGCCTGTGCTAAAGCCAATAGGGCAAGTACTGAGAACTAAAAAAAGATTTTAACTGTAAAAATTCTTGTTTTGTTTAAGCTCTAATAAAACGCTCACTATTGGTTTTGTTAAAAATACACACCAAATTGAATTTATTTTTAATATGAAACCAAAGTATAAAAACAATTTAATTCAATTAATAATGCCGACGAGCCAAACCAAAAAGTAATTACATTGTATATTTATTTATATTGTTAAATTAGTTATGTATATATATATAAATTTAAATTAGTTATGGCCATAGTAAGTTTTTAATATTAAAATAAATTAATGGTTTGAATTTAATCAACCATAATTAATTAAAATATAATGCATAGGCATGGGCGCCGCTACATAGGGGCAGGGGGGGGCCCGGGCCCCCCCCTGGAAATTCATACCCAGAAATTCCGGTACTCCATAATTTGTATAATATTATAAATAACCAATAGGCGTGTTGCAAAACAAAACAAAAAATAAGACGTGTTACACACAAAAATTGCTTATAATTATCCTGTTATTACTACTCTATGACATATGTCATGCTATAGCATAACATCGATATGTATTACCTAAAAAAGTCGCTACAGTGCAACCACATTTTTTTAAGTTTTTGTTATTGTTATAACTTATTTTTAAAATATTACTCATGTTTGTATTTAATTTTTTTGTTATATTTTAATTTATCATAATTTGTATAGCGTATACATAAGACGGCTGTACTACTAGAGGAGATTCTATGAGGCGCCATTTGTGCCATAATTATGTTGCTAATATATATTTATTTTTGTTTGAATATTTATATTTTTTTAATATATTTTTAAATTTACTTAATATATTTATTTTTTTACTTAAAATTTATTTATTTTTTAAGAACAATATATTTATTTTTTTGTGTTAATATTAATAATATTATAATAATATTATGTTTTTTTGACATATATTTGTTTTTTTGACAGACAATTCAATGTGGCAACGTTGCATTGTCATTTAACCCCTTGTTCATAGATGTCGTTGTTGTTTTAAGTTTACTGATACTTTACCGGCAATATTTTTTGAATGTTTGAGGTTAGATTCTATCAGCGATTGTTTTTATTTAAAAACGAAAGAAAAAATCGGTGAATTTTCGGTGGCTACTCAAAACAAGTGTGCTACGCAACTCTGGACTACTTCTTTCCATTATTACTAAAATTTCGCTTTTACAAAAAATATTTCAGAAAATTAATTAAAAAAATTTATTGGGTATTTACCTGTTTTAAATAACCGCAAAAAAATTACCGTCTTCACTATTTCTTTCGTTTATAAATAAAAACAAAGTCGTTAATGGAATCTAACCTCAAAAATTCAAAAAATATTGCCGGTAAAGTATCAATAAACTTAATACAACAACGACATCTATGAACAACGGGTTAAATGACAATGCAACGTTGCCACATTGAATTGTCTGTCAAAAAAACAAATATATATTAGCAGATGTCAAAAAAACATAATATTAGGTATTAATAATATTATTATAATATTATTAATATTAACACACAAAAATAAATATATTGTTCTTAAAAAATAAATATATTTTAAGTAAAATAATAAATATATTAGGGGCCGTCCTTTAATCACGTGAGGTTCAAACAGGGGGGGAGGGGGCTAGAATAACATCACGATTGATCACCATGAGGGGGGGACGGTATATTGGGACAATCACGTGTATTAATTTAATTTTTATTATTTTTTTTCCATTTTTTTTATTTAAATTTTTATTCATTTTTATTAAAATCCTTTTTTAATTGTATTTTTTTCACTCCCATTTTTTAATTATATTTAATACTATTTAATACCATATTATATAGAATATTATTGTTGTGCCGCACAAGTTTTGCGAGCACATAATGTATATTGTTTGCATAATATTCTAATTTATTAATAAAAACGAATGTTTTTGAATTGAAAAACTGGCTGAAAATGAAAAAGTATACAATACACGAGTCGTGTCACACGACGCAAATTTCGAAATGATTACTACTGTCTCTACGCGTCTCGATAAACTCTTGTATTGTAATATACTATTTCCATAATATTTTTCCAATAAAAAAAATATTTTTTTAAATACACAAAATATTTTTTAATAAGAAAATATTTTCCGTAATATTAAAAAAATACACGTGATATTGAATGGGGGGAGGGGTAGCCTAAAACCTCACGACGCATCACCAGGGGGGAGGGGGGGGGGGTAAAAAAGTGGCTAAAAACACCTCACGTGATTAAAGGACGGCCCCTTAGGTAAATTTAAAAATAAATTTAAAAAATATATATAATCAAACAAAAATAAATATATATTAGCAACATAATTATGGCACAAACGGCGCCTCATAAGATTCCTCGGCGATACAATTTTTTTATATTTATAAATTTACCAAAAAACTGTGATGTATTTTTTGCAATATGTACTAATATAAATAAATAGGTAAATATACATATAAAGATGATATTTTATTTGACTTAAGTTTAATGTGAACTTCCACAGTACAACTTGATTATAAATAACATCTATCAAAATTGTAAAAAACTTTAAGGCCCCCCCCTAGACAAATTTCTTCCGGCGCCCATGTGCATAGGTATCTATTTATAATTGTAAAGGGTTTTATCAAAAATTTTATCCATAAATAAACAGAATTTCCCGTTATTAATTGCTTTTAGCGATTAATAAACGATGCTTTATTAGTACTAGAAATATAAATAAATAAATAAATAAAATAATAAATATTGATTTATAGGTATTTTTTAGTTTTAGTTTATGTAAAATTACAATCAATATTAACGCGGAACTGTCTCGGAATAAATTAAAATTAATTACAAAATATGCTAATAACTTTCATCAAACCCGTTTGATGAACACGACTTAAAATCATTAACATAAGTTCCATAAAAAGGATAGAGTTACAAAATTGTGTCGCACGCCTGTTTTATCGCCGATTTGAATGGAAAAAGAAATTGTATCACTTCCGGCAAGTTATTATTCTTCGTTAGAAACTCCTGGACAAGTTTTGTTACGAACTATTGCAAATATATTTTGCGGGAATTCTATTGTTGACGTTCTTTTTCTATTGTTAACGTTATTTTTCAAATGTTTTTACAAAAATGGCGGATATGCCGGTGTCAATTTCGACATTCTTAAATTTATACACAAAATAGTAAAATAATTTACAAACAAAAATATATTAATATTTAACTAAAGGTTAATGAATATTAAATTTTTAATAACTATTCCAAATGGCATTTGTATTTGTTTTACTATTAAATATATTTATATATGTTTATGATTATTGCAAAATCATGATTGCTCTTTTAATTTAAATGTCAATTTTGTTATAACAATGATGTTTTAATTTAAAATTTATCTATATAATTATCTTAGTTCAAAAAATCATTCGATTTCATTTTTTAATCTTCTTCAATTTTTATCAAAATAGTATATTATTATATCCTTAGTTGATTTTAAGAAAAAAAGTTCAAATAAACCTATGACCTTAATTTTTGAGTTACAGGGAGTTAAAAGTTTTAAGAAAAAAATCGTTTTTTTATTATAACTTTAATAACTTCCTAGATATTTTTATAAAATTTGGCACACGCCTTCTAAGCATTAACAGTAAGTTTTTGATGAAGAAGATTTTTTATTTTTTTATCAGTGGCGTCCGTACAGGATGTGGTCTAGATATTTTTGGAAAAATATACACGCCACTGCTATTTTTCAAAATAAAAACTATTTTTTAAATCCCCATTCATTTTAGGGCAAATTTGATTTCTTGATCATTTTTCGTACAACTGACGGTTTTCGATGAAAAAAATAAAAAGCATATTGAAAAAACAATGCCATGATTAAATAAACATTAAAATTAAATTTATTTATAAAATAATTTTAAAAGAACTAACATTAAATAACGTAAACAAAAACAAAAATAATTTAAGTTATTAAAGTTATAATAAAAAAACGATTTTTTTATTAAAACTTTAACACCCTGTAACTCAAAAATTAAGAGGTTGAGGTCATAGGTTTATTTAAACTTTTTTCTTAAAATCAACTAAGGATCCACACCCTTAAGGTTCAACATCTTATTCTGAAACACCCTGTATATATTTATATATCAATTTGATAACATTGAAATAATAAAAATAAAATATAATATTAAAAATCGCGTCAGTGGGCTATTTTTGGGAAACCTTGTATGTATGTTTTATTTTTTTTAAACCAATGGTAAAAACAATTTGTTACCCTTAATTTTTTATTTGGTTAAATATAGGTAGTACAATTATTACTTTTTGAATAAATAAAAATTCAAATTTTAAATTTACACAACTTTGTATTTGATATACATGGGCACCAAGTATACATCTATGTATGATTATCTTTTTTATTTTAAATGCCACAATTAAAGAAAAGTTGCATTAGGTACCAAAAGTCTATTTAAATGGCATTTAAAAATTGGGAAAAAAATCAGAGGTTCTCAAATATTTTGAAAAAAACTGAAAACCCGTCAAAAACGAAATCATTAAACAAAAGATTGGTAACTCAAAATATAGTAGCAAAGTTATAACAATTTTTGGTTTTAAAAGGTTTTTAGTTTTTTAAATTATCTTGTCTTGTTATCCAAATTTATAATTTTTATACTTTAAAATTTAAAACAAAGTATTATAAAATAAAACTTTTTGACACTTTATATTAAATATCTTAAATATATTAAATCTTAAATTTTAATATTTTAACTAAAACGTAAATAATTTTTTTTTAAATATTGAGTAAAATTTAATAATTACAGTGTGTCAACGGATAAAGATACAGTAGGAAAGAAATATTTATCATTCATTTTAAGACAAAACGTCATTCTCTATAAAATTATTTATTACTATTAAAAAAAATTATTTATTTCTAATGACAAAAATTGTATGCAACAAAGTCTAAGTACAATTTTTAAATGAAAATTACCTTAAAGCATTTTAATCTTTTTTTACCGGAAAATGTATAATACAGATTTTTTCCTATTTTCAATATCAATTAAACAATTTTCCATAACCAAAGACAAATAAACATACATTAATAATGAAAGTTTTATAACCCCAGTAAATGATAAATAAGCCTTTAAAATTGTTAAACCGCCGACAAATATAATCCCTTCAAAGCTACACAAAATCCACAAAACGATTTTTGCACTACACATTTAGTCGCACAAAACACGTTAAATCACTGTTAATAAAAAAAATATTGAAAGTTGGTACTCACTGCAAGAAATTTCATGTTGTACGCCTGGGTAACCTGATTTTGTTCGAATGTTAATTTCGTTGGTCTACCGGTTTCTTATATACCTAGCGTCTTCGTCGGTCTCCTTTCTCCACAGCGGCTATCTTACACTCTTTTACACGCCCTTTAATAAGTCGATTTTGTTTTTTTCCATACGATAAAAATCTAGATACGTTTTTATACGGTCGTAGGTCTCCATTGTCAATCGTGCAGGTTTGAACCTGATTGTTATTTTGGTTTAAGCGAAAATCAGTCGACCGAATAAACGGATTTACTTATCTAAACAAATCCAAACTAACAATTAAGTTGTTAAATCCTAAGAAATATTTTTTTTTAATTTTTTTCTTTTCTTTTTAATTTTTAAATTCCCTTTATCCACAGTATACCCCAGAATGTTGCAAAATGTTCAATTTTTTTTAATCAAAACTGTGTACAGGGTGAGTCAATATTAAAACGAATTAAATAAATAAATTTAAGAAATAAAACCAAGTATTTTATTCAAAAATTATTGGAGAATCGTATACAGAAGAAAAATCTAAAAAAAAATTTTTTTTATTACAGCGCCATCTATTACAAATATGAAAAAATGTTTTAGTCAAAATCTACTAACCATTTACCAAGTTTTAAGTTAAATGACTCCCCTGTATTTTAACGCCTCAATTAAAAAAATATATAACTAAATTTTATAAATCCACAATTTCTGAAAAATTGCGAAACTCACGCGTGATTTAAATCAAATAAAACCGTAAAAAACGGCACACAAATAAAGCGCTGAGAATTTACAAAGATAAATATCGGAACAATTGTAATTGAGTTTGATTGTCCGCTGCAATTGGCACCATTGGTGTTACATTGTTTGAGAGAGAAATATGAATTTTTCGCTACAAAATTTCTCTATTTTTAGAGCGGAAATTTCGCGCACCAAAGGATTTTAATATTGCCTTTCATGCCATTGTTGTCCAAGCCAAGTAAATAAAGTGGATAAATTATATTTTGTGTTTGTAATAAAAAGCGGATTAAATGTCAAATTGACTTGCTTAATATTATATTTCGGTTATACCTATTAATAAGATATTGTCAAAAATGTTACATAGGTACATTAAAATTCATATATACAGAGTGTCAAGATAATGACAATTTTTTGGCTAAAAACAATTTTATTTCTTTAAAAATATGATTTGTAAGGAGAAATGCTTTATAAATATTTCTAATTTATTTTTTTAGTTTAATTAGGACCCATGGCTACATTACCAATATCCAAAAAAATATTTTGTCGAATTATAAAAAAAATATTAATGAATAATTCTTAAACACAGAACACAGATTTTTAACCGCAATTAATTATTTTTTACAATGTTTTAAAAGTCTAAAACCTATCCTCCGTGACTGTTACTCTTTCTAGGTTAACATACATGTTTTCAAATATCTGGTACTAAAATTATCAGTTCACTAAGTAAATTAAACACATCCAAAGCAATCGAATCAAATATAAAATATTATTAAAAATTAAAAGAAATAATTTTTATAACCATTTATGCAGGTGTTACAAAAATTGATTCTATCCTCCGTGAATCTTTTTTTGCTTTAAATTTTATGCAACGGATGGCGCTTTAATCATTTTAAATAAGCAAAAACCTCTGTTTACGACATTATAGATGCATGTGAATCCTGAAGGTCAGTTGGAATTTATATGCAGATGAGAGTGTTGCTGTTTTATAATTCAAAAGTTTAAGTTCATTAATTTGCTTTTTAAAAACCTATCCACCGTGAATTGTAATATCTCAGTAAGTAGATTTTTTTATAAATATTTTATGTATGTACAATTGTATTTTTAAAAAATATTAAGGTGTCAAAAGATACAATAACTTATTTTAAATATACAAAGGGATGTTTAAAAAAACATACGAAATCCTAACCTCCGTGAAGCTCTAATATTCAAAATGTATGATTTCTTAAAATTCTTGCATTAGTGCAGAACCACTTATGTTATGTTATTACTAGACCAACTTCCCAAAAACCCCATTCTAGACTAACAGTAAAACAACCAAAAATAAAAAATAATCCTTTTTACTCAACATCTCAATATATTCACCCTTATATATTTAAAAATTAAGTAGCAAACCTAAAATATTTTAATATTTTTTATTAAATTATTTAGATTTAAAATGGGTCTTTTTGATGAATTTAAATTAATTGCATAATTAATTTTCATAAAAGGATATTGCAGATATATTAAAAAAAAACTAAAAATCTTGATTTATAAAGTTGAAGGAAAATATTTAGCATTTTTTCAATAAAAAATACATTTAAATTAAATTAAAATGATGACCTTAACATCCAAAAATTTTAAATAAATAGGTATTTGATACAGATTAAAATATCAACAACTTTTTAAATTAGAAGAAGGGATGAAAATGTTTAATTTAATGATTATGATCAGTCTATTTTTAAATTATGTAATAGTGGTTATTAACTGTCTAAAACTTTTTAGATATAAAACTCCTTTTTGGGTTTTGGGTAATGGCTTCAATAATAATTTAAAAATATATAATGTTATAATAATTACAACTAAGCTAATAAATAACAATAGAAGTATATTCCACTAGACAAACGGAAAAATAAACAATTTTCATATTCTCTCACATCTATTATAACTAATATAACACCGACAATTTTGCAACGCAAATTCCTTGAAACAGCAAATTACTTCAAACAAATATTAAACTAAAAGTTTTTGTGAAATAAATTAATTCTGTTAAAGACAGCAAAAAATAGCACGACTTTCTTTTAATTTCATTTTAACTTACATCTGTTAAAAAAAGAAATAGTTTAAGAATTAATTAAATGTTAACACTGTGTTTACATGATATATTATGGAGAAAAAAATGATTATATTTAAACATATTAAAGAATGGACTCGTAATGCTCATTGTTGTGTAGTGGTGAGTAAAGCATACCATGTGAAATATTAAAAAATCATGTTAAAGAGTATTGATTAGAATTCAATTAGAAATAATAATTTCCTAACGCCTTTAAAAATACTTGTGTAATCATATACCTACTTTAATAATTAAAATTAACTACCTTAATACAGCACATACACGACAAATACTATGTTATTTATGCAATCAATTTTTTGTGGTTTGAATATTAAATACCCCGCAACCACTGGTTAAAATTAGCCTACCAATTATGGTACAGAAAGACAATATAACAGAGTGGCAAAATAATTGGTTTGCGAAAATTATGGCCACTAGCTGTCGGACAAAATTTGAAATTAGGCAAGCTCTAATTAAATTGTATAAAAAATACGAAAGTGATGGATTGTAACGTTTTGCGTGATAAGTATAAAAATACGAGTTATTTTTGTAGGTAGTAATAGTTAATAAAAGTAAGAAACTATTTATATTTTAAAAGGAAGTGGGTTTATCATCAAATAGCTTCATTAAATCTAGAATAATGTATATATATCAAGGAAATTGTTACGCCAAATTAACTGTTACAATTTTACTGTAGTCAAAGGTGGATAAATCAACTGATATTCAAAATTTCACTTTTAATACAAATCACAATTACTTTATGTGGAACTTGTTTGCACTTATATATATATATACATATACATATATATAAATATTATTGCATTTTGGAATTCTACGTAAAATTCTGCAGCAGTTGCATTTTGAATCGTTTTCCTATCTCCAGTAATTGTTATTGAGATATTTAATTTTTTCAAAAAAAATTGACCAACTAAAATGTCTGTATTACCAACAATTGTAATGTTAAAAAGTTCATTTTTTGTATACACGTTAACAAAATCGTATCCTATCAGGAGCCATTAATAATATTCCAAAATGTTATACAGGGTGTTACTTTTTTGCAATTTTAAATGCCAATAACTTTCTTATTTCAAATGGAACGACCATACATTTTTTACACCATTCGACGCGGAATTTTATTCTCTATTGAAATGTTATATCATACCCTTGTTAAATATAACATATAAAATCATCCAAAGCACACTTGTGGCAATACACACAAGTTGAATGAGGGTTTTTCACATTTTTAGCAATATATCTGTAAATACTTATTTTAGCTATAGGGTATGCTATAACATTTCAATTTAGCTACTTCATAAGTAAGACAAAATTACCCCTCATAGAAAATTTAATGCTCTACAAAAAAGGTCTAATTAACATTTTGCGTAAGTCAAGCCGTTTCAAAGATATCGTGCCTCAAACTTCAGACTGTTTAAAATTATGATTTTTACAAAAAAATCAATTTATATGTATTTAAAACCCAAAATTATTAACATAAGAATAAAAATATGCATATATTATGTATTTGATGGATGATAATTTTCATTGACTTTTAGCGAAAAATATTTACTTATCTAAAAAATATGGTAGAAGTTTATTATAAACTATCATTTGTCAAATTATGAAGAATTTTGGATCTGCATTTCCTCAAATATATATTTATTCTCACCCATAATATAACAAGTGGGTTTTAATACATATAAATTGATTTTTTGTATTTAAGAAAAAAAATCCTAAAATCGTTTTTTTTATAAACGTTTTCACTACCAAATGGATAAACTCGATTGAATTAAAGGTTTCAAAATAAATAACCACTTTATTTACCGTTGTAGATGCAGTCTTCTTGTTAAATAATACCAATAAACATAACTGGACCCAAGAGCTTGAACTGGTGAAAGTTAATAATTATGACATCACACGTGCATGTATATGAATCGGTTGCGAGTGGAATTTTTTTAACGGGATCATTGCATTTGTAAAAATTCAATCTTATAACATCCATTAACTGTGCAGCTGAAGGTTTATGATGAATTATGGTAATTTTAAGAATTAATCCCGGCGCATTCGCCATTTTTTGAAATCGGTGAATAAAAAGAATACAGCCACTAATAATAAACGAACTGGAAAATCAAAATTTTTTATTGCAACTTAATTTTTAGGCAATCAGGAGTTTCTATAAAAAAATAGTTTTTTTGTAAAAGGCATTTTCATATTTTCTTTATTTCTGAGCACCCTGTACATTAAATTAAATATTTTTATGGGAATCTTTTAAAAATGCATGTCAATCAGTAAATTAAATACCAACTAATCATTTGCTTTTTTTCTTCAACTTTAAAGAATATTGATGGCAGCATATTATGAGACTTGTAAATTATGAGTCATGTTTTTGCACAAATATTTACAATATGAAATAAATGTCCTTTGCAATTTTAAGCAACATATTATTTCACATAAATTCCTTGTTCTAATATATTTTTATTTAAAGTGATCTAAGAAATACTATTTCAAAATAAGCCAAGTACTGTAATTACTTATTTAATTAAGTATCTGTTTCTTACTATGACCATGATATTTAAGTAAAGCAACACTATTATAAATAAAAATTGTTTTTAATGTAACACTTCAACAGTTTATTTGAAATAAAGTACCTCAGGGTTCATACACTTCATTCATACTCAATAACTTGAAAAATAAAACTACTAAATTGGGAGTCAGACAATTTTTTATTCTTATAAATACACACATAAAATGCGCGTAAGTTAACTTATAAAAATGTAATGTAACTTAATACAATCTTTGTGGGGGTCCCATGGAAGATTTGACGTGGAGGGATCTCACGTTTTGCCAATGTTTCTTTAACAGAGAAACCAAGAAATTGATTGACAAATGTACGTTTTGTACAAGCTCATCTACACTCATGTCAACGTGTCCTACGGCGACAGACAAGCACAATACCTGGAAAGAAGATTGAGTTTAAGATATGTCATTTAAAATGTTAATTATTAACAAATGTCATTTATTATGTCAATTAATTTGTCAAATGTTCATATGTTTATACGTTTAAATGGCAACCTTTCACAAGTATTTAAATTTTTAAATTGACAAATTTTAAGCCACATAAACTTCAAACCAAAACATTTCATTTAAAATTAAATAAATGTCATTTAAAATGTCGCATATTTAAAAATAAAACATTTCACCTAAAATTATTAAATTTTCATTTATAATATAAAGTTTTGAAAAATGTTACCTATTTAAAATGTCAAATTTTAGCAAATGTCACTTGGAATGTCAAATTTTAGCAAATGTCACTTGGAATGTCAAATTTTAACAAATTTCATCTAATGTCACATTTTTACAAGTCATTTAAACTTAAAAATTTAACAGAAAAGCTTTACAATTTAAGAAATTTTATTTAAAAAGTCCTATCTTAAAAATCAGTTACTTAAATTTATCAGAAACCATTTCGCTGGTTTGGTGCAAGACTATCCCAAGTCCATTTTCAAAGAATTTGATAAAAACACTATTAAACACTTCTATTTATTGTAAATAAATTGTTTTTTTCGTCATTATTTTAAAAATTGTAAGGTTTTACAAGAATGACGCAAAAAACCATTTAAAATGTTGCATATTTAAAAATAAACATTTCAATTAAAATTTAAGAAATGTCAAATTTATCAAAAAAGATTAAAAAAAACATTTCACCTAAAATTAGAAAATTGTCATTTAAAATTTGAAGTTTTGAAAAATGTCAAATTTTAACAAATTTCATCTAAAATGTCACATTAAAGTCATTTAAACTTCAAAATTTATCAGAAAAGATTCAAAAGTAAACATTTCATTTAATTTTTAAGAAATTTCATTTAAAATCAGTAATTTAAATTTAAAAGAAAACATTTCATTTAAAATTTAAAAAAAATTAATTTAAAATGTCAAATTTTAAGTCATTTAAATTAAAAACCAACACATTTCATTTAAAATTTAAGAAATTTCATTTAAAATGTCACATTTTTAAAAATAAAAATTCAACTAAAATATAAGAAATGTCAAATTTTAAGATGTAAAATTTATCAAAAAAGATTTTAACTAGAATTAGAAAATTGTCATTTAAAATTTGAAGTTTTGAAAAATGTCAAATTTTAGCAAATGTCACTTGGAATGTTAAAGTCATTTAATTTCAGTTATTTAAATTTAAAAGAAAACAATTCATTTAAAATTTAAAAAAAATTAATTTAAAATGTAAAATTAAAATTTGAACTACAAACCAACAAATTTCATTTAAAATTTAAGAAATGTCATTTAAAATGTTGCATATTTAAAAATAAATATTTCAATTAAAATTTAAGAAATGTCAAATTTTAATATGGAAAATTTATCAAAATTAGAAAATTGTCATTTAAAATATGAAATTTTGAAAAATGTCAAATTTTAGCAAAATTCATCTGTCACATTTTTACAAGTCATTTAAACTTCAAAAGTTATTAGAAAAGATTTAAAAGTAAACATTTCATTTCCTACTTGGGAAATTTCATTTAAAATGTCCTATCTTAAAAAATGTCAAATTTTGAAATTTATCAGAAAAGACTCAAAACTTAACATTTCATTTCATTTAAAACTTTCATAAATGTCATTTAAATTTTGAAATTTATCAGAAAAGATTCCAAAGTAAACATTATAAAGAAATGACATTTAAAATGTAAATTTCATTAAAAATTTCACATCTCAAAAAAATGTTAAATTTTAAAAAATGTCAGTTCTAAAAAATAGAATTTTTACTTCAAAATTTATCAGAAAAGATTCAAAAGTAAATATCGAATTTAAAAAAAAGTCAGTTAAAAAATATCAAAATTTAAGAATGTCAAATTTTAAAAAACGTTACTATAGTCATATTTTAACAAATGTCACTTAAAATGTCAAAAATTCATGGCAATTGTGATAACATTGTTTGCATTGTTTAAAGCCAGAGTTACACATGTAAAAATGGTAGTTATCAATGCAAATAATTTTGCAACATTCTTCCGTACAATTCTTAATTGGCAATACATTAGATTGTTGGCTTGAATGTGCTAATAATATTAATATTAATAACCTGAAAAAAATATAACAACTTACCTTTTTCATTTGGAACTTGATGGTGGCCTTGACTTCATCGATCTTCTGGGTCATGGACTCCTGATGGGACAAAAGACCAGGGAACTTGCCAGCTTTGTTAAGACCGGGTCCCAGCAACCTAGGGATCTGTTTGATCAAAGCCTCGGAAGCCAAGAAGGCGTCGTATTTTTTGGCCAACTTTTTGACAAGCTTCTTGTTTTTGTTCAATTTTTTCAAAGCTTCAACATCCATGAAAGGAACGCCTTGGGCTTTGGCTTCGTCGCAATGCTGTTGGTCACCAAGGACACATACTTGCATTTTTGGCCTTGGAATGTGCTTTAGTCTATAAACAATGGCAAAAATCAAAAGCACATTCTAAAAGCCAATATTTTGATATTTTCAATGTTTAGGTTGGTATTTTTGACATTTTAATGTCAAAAAACCAAGCATAATTTGATCTAAACAAAACAAGAGAATATTGTATACCCACAAGATCACCCGGGTAACCTAAAATGCTACCAAGCTTAACCTCATGGGTAATTTTATCTAGCAAGGAAATGATTAAATTGTTAAGCCATAGACTGGTTTAAAAACCCTGAAACCTTGCACATTTAATACCTACTTTTACATAAAAAACGTGCTAAACTTGGACTCACCAACAAAATAGTAGGCGTTTCTTAAGCAAGCACATAACCTATATTAATTGGTCGATAATGACAGATAAAATCTGTCAAGATCTCCCCAATTGTTTTAAGACCCTGGGTGCAGGTCCGCCCGTTTTGGGGGCTTCCTAACAATTCGAACCGCCTTTAGGCTCAAAAAAAAATTCTTATGACAGCATGGTTACTGTACATAACCTAAAAACGGTTCACGTTAGGTCGACATACTTGACGGTGCCGCTGAAACGTTTGTCCTTCTGGGGGTCGTAGTTTTTCAAACCGATTTGGATTTCAACGGTTTCCAAAAAGTTCCTTTTCTTGGCTTTGGATTGATCCAAGACCCCTTGGACGCACTCATAGAAAGTGTCACGAGAGACTTTGGACCTAAAATTACACGAAAATATTAATAATCACCCGAAAATATCTATACAGATATAATCCTTAATGATTTATTTATCAAATTAAATTAAGAACGTTTTAAAATGTATAAGGATGACTTGGAAAATTAAAAAATTAAAACTTACGTCATGATGAACACAACCTGACGCCACGAAAAACAAATGTGGAAAGAACGATGTGAAGTAGGCGCGGGCTATTTTAACTTCTAGCCAATCGCATGAAGTTAGGCGTAAATCGATAATATTTTATTTTTAGATTTATTTTTTACACATTTGAGTTCGTATTACTATTTTGAAACCTAATAATAAAGATAATTTATTTTTTACAATCGTTTTTGTTTAAAACCACTTATTTCCGCAATTTTCAAATGAAACTATTCAGTGATGTTCCAAATACCACGCAAATAAAACGCCTAAAGAAAGTTTATTTAAAAAAATATTAAAGAGTTTTTAATAACATTATTGCAGATATACAAACAATATGTTATTAATTTAATTTAACCAGTTTGTATGCTACAAACTTATAATAAATCATATTGGGAACGACGTTAGCAGGGATTTTTACCGGAAAATTCCAGAAAGGCTTTTAACCGACACCCAGCTGTTTTTTGTAGTTCGAAAAAAATCCGTTTAGTGTGCAGAACGAAGTAAACAATTTTTGAAAGCGATAAGGAAATCGAATAGGAAGAAAGCGTCTTAAATACAGCGTGTTCTGTTAAAACGATCCCGATTTTGTTAAATTACAGCAGAAAGTCCGAAAAGGCCGTTGCATGTTTCCAAACAATATGACAGGTGATCCTAACCAACAAAACCAGTCGTCAATATTTGGCTACGAGATGTATCCGCCGGCAAATGCGCAGCCGATTAATTGGCCGGAAATACAGGCCACGCAGGGTTTTAACAATCCGCACACATATCAATTTCAATCGCAGAATACCCAAAACGACATAGGAAACTTCTCGTTTAGCTCTCAAAGACAAGATCAGCCTGTCGTACAGTTCCCCTTTCAGGTGGGCAGCTCTTTTGGGGTGAATTCCAACACCATTAGGTGCAAGAGGAAAACGGACTCCCCACCGTATGTATAATTCACTATAAATGCAACTTATTGCAATGATAACTTATTTTAGGCTCCAACAATGTAAACAACACATAACGGAGGAAAAAATGGCCGAACACATGTCAAAACTTCACATTAGCACTGAAACACCTTCCTCTTCAAAAGAAACCAGCACAGAAAAACAACAAAGGCTTTATTTGTGCGAGGAAATGAGAAAACTTAAGTCCGATGTTATAATACCACAATGTCTTATAGATAGAATGCAAAGGCCTTGCACAGCTTTGGTTTTATGGCAGCCCCCCCCAAGAATATTAATCCCTGAAAGAATAGATAATTTAGATAATAATAATGAAGAAAATTTGCCCGATCAACAATTGAGAATGGAGAATGAGAATGTAGAATACGATATGGATATGTAGGGTGTGGAATTAACTGAATTTATAATATTGCTATTTTTGTGCCAACAATTGTAGAATGTATGAATTCAGTGTACTTACATGAAGACTGACCAAATAAATTAATAGTTTTGGTGGCGAATAATAATCGAATAACAATATAAATAAAAATCTCAATTGTTGGAAATACATGATATTTTTTAAGTACTAAAATCATCAAATGGTTGCTTTAAAATTAGTTTAGTATGTTAAAGTTTGCGCATTTATTAGTTTCGTTTTATTTATTGTAGGTTATAAAATTTTTGTCTAAAACTACATATTATGTTCCTTTTTTAAGTTAAAAAATACTTTGCTGTATAATAAATTAACTGTTAGTTTTTGTTACTATTTTTTTAATTTTTGGTATTGTAAAACCTGTATTTTTATTTTAAAGTGATTGTTTATATTTTTCTTGTGATTTTTAGCTTTTTTTAAAAAGTAGTCTTTACTGCCGTGATTAAGTTTTGTAAATGTTTTAATATTGATCATAGAAAAACTTATGTTATTGATTATACTATTTTTTATATACACCGTTTTTTATTTATATAAAAAATCTGAAAAAACTGAAATAATAATCTGCAGGATATTTTACACTAATGATAAATAAATCTAAAATAATAAAGAAATGCGTTAAAATACAATAAAATTACTTACTTGAGACTCATTGTGAAGAAATACAAAAGTCAAATTCTAGAATTTTCAAATTATTTTTGGACATCAGAGACCTTGATAATAAAAATAATATTTGTTGAAAAAGAAATTTTATAATTATCATTAAATAACACAAACCAAAACAATACATAATATTTCAAACTTAAATCCGTATCTATTAAAAATATCGTTTAAAATATCAAATAAAACCGGCAAACCAGATAACAGCCGGGTGTTGGGATTGCCTAGATTCAGGCGTTTCGGAGCCCACTGGCGTTAACAGTTCTTGTTTTATTCAGTATGGAAAATGCTCGTAATCTGTGATCATTTTCCATATAAATCCATTCACAGATGTTACTGACGCATGCGCGCACATCAGTTTGAAAATCAGCATGGATGTCTTAGTGCAGGGTGGTGTAAAAATTAACATTAAATGCATATTTATTAATTGACTGTTGCACAAAAAGTGTGGTGTTTGATGTTTTCGCGAAGTTCTACACGGTTGAAGTGCTTTACGAATGAATTGCACGGCGACTCGCTTACGATTCGGTAAGTTGTTAATGTTAATGTTATTATTGTTTATAAAAATAGCTGTCAAAGTTTTTTGGGTTTTTAAATTTAAATTAGGTGGATAGTGGGTTTAAGTGCGGGTATTTCGAATGGCTGTGAGTTAATTTGATGTTAGGAGGTTAAATGTGACCTACATATTGGGGAGTTTAAAAATAATTGTGATTGTATCCATGTTTTAAAAACTCTAATCAAACTAGCAAAGTACCTATGTATGTATATGTAGGTAGGGGTTTTGGTGTCGATAAATAAATGGTCTAAGGCTATTTATTTCTCTGGTTTATAAATATTACGCTGTCTGATTATTGAGTTAATGAAGCATAATATGCATATTATGATGCGACAATTCACGTAGAAAGAAAAACGGTAGATAAAAGGTCATACCTACCTACTTAATGAAAATTCAATTCAAACAGCTGACTAAAATAAAAACTCTGCCTTGCTAAATAAAGGGAGAGGTTTCGTATTTTATTTTTATCCTAAATAATGGCATAATTTATTTGAGCCAACCAATCTTATTCCGTGTAACGGATATATTTTCTTTTTATCTTTAATTCTATTCTTTTTCAGTCTTTATTTTCCTTTATTTTGCAATCATTTGTCTTTGCGACATTTTATGCAAAGCCCCAAAAGGGATCCTATTATTCTAGAAAAAAAATACATACCTAAAACTCCAATTGGACTTTTTATACAGGGTGACTGGGATGTATATAAGTAACACGTAATGATTTCTTGAAATTTGATACCTTTCTTTCTATAAAAAATGATCTCTATAGAAACCAATAAACCAATCAGGGATTATCCATCGCTCCTAGTGTGCTGTGGAAAATGCTGTGCTTGATTGGTTTATTGCTTTCTACAGAGATAATATAAAATAACAAACTTTATAACATTTATAATATAGAATATATATATATTTTTAGTTTTAAAGTTGATAAAAAATATTTTATTAATTAAACACTTAATTTACTACACGAAATTCTCATAAAAAGTGTTACCGAGACACTGCAGTTTAATTAAATTGTATTTTATCGGCACGTCAATGACAAGAGGTCATATAATCTCGAATTTGGGAGGGTGGGTTTTTGGGTCGTAAAGCGATTGGAGGTTTATTACTTCTTGCTTTAAATTGTTTTCATTTTATAGCGCATAAAGTTCCAACGGAATAGGTGGGAAACGATTTAAATTTAATAATAGAACATGTCGTCAGATGAGTATGAGTATGAAAATGTAGTTTTTGTTTTGTAAGTATTAACAACCATTGAAACAAATGTTTCCTTTTCATTATCGGTTTCAATTTGTTTTATTATTATATTGCAAGAAACTCATCGATATGGGATTAAGTGTAGGAGACACTTCATTGTGTTGTTGATACGCCAGTGACGTTTGTTTACTTGTTTTCCGCAAACTGCCGCTCGATTTTGATGGATTAAATGTAATTTCGACGGGTGCTGTGGAAAACAAATAACTATACGGGTGTATGGGGATTTTAGAACAATAAATCGAGTTTCCTATTTTCAAAACAAAGGAAAATAATAACATTGGGTGTTGCGAATAGATTATGTTACCAGTTTGGAACGAAACTAAATATGTTATTATAAAATTATTTTAATTTTATAAAAAAATTGCAGAGCAATGGTTAGGAATCTGTTTTGCCGGCTTTTTTCTGTAAAAATATAAATTATAGAGGCAGTTTTTTTATAATGAAAGTGAAGAGGATATATGGGTACTCCACCCGAAATTATTAATGCTCTATCGGCAAATACTAGTTGCTTAAAGTTAACTTTAATCCGTGACTAAAACGCGAAATTAAGTGTTATTAAAACATGATGATGAGAGTTTTAAAGGAAGGAGTAAAAAAATATATTATGATATAATTAATAACCATAACTTTTTTAATTTTAATTTAATAGTAAAAATATGTTTTATCGTCCTAAAAACGCTTCATAGTTCAAGAATGCATTTTGTCAGGAGATAACGACTATTTACAACTTATAGGTATCTAACTATTTACGTTTGCAATTTACTAGGCAACATAATAAAATTATTTTTAATATTTTTTACCTTACCTTTTTTAATTTCAATTATTATTATTGCTTTGTAAAAATGTGTTTTCTGGTCCTAAAAAGAAACGTGATTCTATTAATAAAATCAGTTGTACATATAGTTCAGAAATGCGTTTTGTATTATTGACTATTTTTCAAAACGCCATTACCCTTTTCAATACACATTGACAAGTTGTGGCTTTATGGCGCTTTAGTCACGGGCTAAAGTTAGCAACAGGTTTTAGGTCTCGGGCTTTAATTTAGTTGACAGTTGTCATACAATCATTAAAATAATAATAATAATAATAATACAAAAATAAAAATTAAATAGTTTCCTGACGACAATATTTTAAAAGATTATATGAACGTTTGCTGAAGTAGTGCAGTTAACTAGATTTAACTGATAAAGCGTTAAAAATTATAAAAATTTCTAACGGTAATTCCAATAAATACAACTGTCACTTTTTGTACCTTTAACATTTACCGTGTAAGAATTTTCAATACTGTGAAAATATTTTGCAATTATAGTAATAAAAAATCAAAGGATAAAATATCTTCTTAACATATTTTGAAGTTATTTTAATATTTTAAAGCATTAATTGTTAAGTTTAATTAAAATATTAACGTGCAATGTTAATGGTGAAATTACGTCAAAAATGTTTATTGGGATGGTTACTTTATTTTCATATAGATGTCGCTTTATACAAATATTTAATTTAAATTATTTTTAGATATTAAGTATTTGTCGTAGAAAAAGTATGTAACTCGATTATAAACTTTTCTAGACACTAGGTAATTCCGAGGGTAATTCAATTAATTAAATTAAATTTGTGACTAAAATGGCGTTTATCTTGATAAATAATATACTATTATACTATACATTAACTTTATATTATACAGTTTAAAACCCCATACATGTATAAGCATTTACAAAATAGTTTCCTAATTAATATTTAAAAAAGTTATAAACTTACTTGTCTTATTTTTATGATCTGTACCTAGAAGTTATGGGACCATAACCCATAACTTTTTAGTAAATATCAAGTTTTTAATATTTTTTAAATATATACTTATTCTAAAGATTATATATAATTAGTGATGTAAAATACCCAATAAATGGATTTTAACTTAAATCTGGCATAAAAATGGATTGAAATCAATAAATAGTTTAATTTAATATAGTAAAGTAGTAGTAGTAGTAGTTTTATCTATGATGCCAATGTTTTTTTTTAAATATGCATCAAATTATTTAAAGAAAATGTCCATGCTATCCTTTGTTCTTGCTCATTTTAAAACAAGTATTTGAAAGTTTTACCGTAAAACACAAAAAATTAAATCACAAAAGTCATTTACCATAAACATTGGAACAAAACAATACAATAATAAATATTGTGAAAGAAAGTTGGGTTATATTTGCCTGGTTACATATTCTTATAGATATTTTAACAATCGATTGAGTGCGTTCAGAGACATGTCTACTACGTTTATGTTCATACCGTTTAGCAAGGAAATTAAATATTATTTAATTTAAATAATTTAAAGTATAATAAATAATAACGTATTTATGAAAAATATCCAGTTTTGGGTAGGTAATTAAAATTTTATTTACCTACCCACTGGGTATTTACCCTATCTAAGAATAATAAGAATAAGTAATAGTTATTTATGTCATTAGATTAAGAAGTAAGGCTACAATTGAGCGAAGCACAAAAAGGCACATCTTGGCCGAATGGCATACAACATTTTATCTTCAAAGCACTTTATATAGGTCAATTTAATTCAACATCAAAGCGGCCTAACCTCACTTTTTTAGAATCTCATTTATTTATTAGCTAAAGATTACATTAAATGTACAATAATTATTATTGCTTTTAGAAGCAGTAATAGTTTGACAATACCTAGCTATATGATTTAAGTAGAAATGGGTTTTTGCTATTACATTGAATTCAATTAATTGTTTCATAAATAGGTAGGTATCTAATTTCAATTTGTTTGGATTTTTATTTAAAAAATAGGTAGTTTAGAATGTTTAAGCTGTGTTTAACATTTAATTTCACTGAAAACTTTTCTTGGTTGCCTAACCTCACTTTTTGTTTTATTATTCATATTTAATTTTACAATAATTTAATGAAAAATATTAAACATTAACAGTAAAACAAACAAATTAGTGCTTATTATAAATAAATTAAACCAGTTTAGTACGTTAATTTCTTAGAAAAGGATTAATTTGTCAAAACAATACACCTAGAGAGAAGAAATCGAACTAATTACTTGCCTCATAAATTTTTTATCGGCCTAGGCCATAACAAGGTATTTCTTTATCGAATGTTGACAACAATAAAGTTTAAATTATAGACCGCGTGGAGATAAATAAATTTATTGGAAAATTCAAAAGGCTATCGACCGAGGTCTTTCTGCCTATACGAGCCCTAACCACACTTCATAATTTATACAGAAATTTTTTTCGTGAATACTATCTCAAAATTATTAGAAGTTATGAAAAATTCAGCTTATTTTGGCATATACCCCTCGAAGCGATTTTTATTTTTAAAAAGTTTACCTTTTATTTTTAGCTTTTAAAAAAAGGCTAACTTTTTAACTTTTTTTTGCATGAGTAAAAAAAGTTATAAATGGGCCCATTAAAAAGAACATAAAATATTATACAAACCCTGAAAATTTGGTAAAAATTGTATAAATAATAAGAAAGTTATAGCGATATATATATCTGCAAAATCTCCCGTTTCCTAAGAAAATTGCAAAAACTCTTTAAAAATAGCATTTTTAAATTACTTATACTTTTTTATAACTTATTTATTTTTTACCAAATTTTCAGGGTTTGTATAATATTTTATGCTCTTTTTAATGGGTCCATTTATAACTTTTTTTACTCATACAAAAAAAAGTTAAAAAGTTAGCCTTTTTTTAAAAGCTAAAAAT